ATTATTAGGAGTTTTTGATGACCGACTCCTACTTTAGTCACACGTATTTTGTGAAAGTTTATTTGGAAACTTTACTGAAATTATGCAGCCCACTAGGAAGCATGTTATTCTTCTCCATCCTCCACGTCACTTACTTGGAGACATTATTTAGTGGATAACTTTGGAAATTGTGACTGGTAGTGAGTTCATTATTCTTCATTTTGTGTCCATTTTCCTTCTCGCTTTATCGAAATTCTACACTGTCTCCTTAGCGTTTGCAGATAAATACAAAGGTGTACTACGACCTCATTGGTTGTCAAGCCTGATTGTATCTAATTTACGTGAAAAGGGCGCATAATAGTTTCAGTGGATGGATAAATGTGGAGATTGAGAAATGTGAGTTAATGCACATGAGCACTCCTGTATCAGTCACAATCCCAAGGTGTTTAAACGGAAAGAATACTTTTTAACCATATTACGATACAAAGGAGTAATTCAGGGTACATACCCCTTTTCATTATTCAGGTGCATTATTTTCAGCATTTTGTCAGCTTATAGGAACCATTGCCATAGCTTTACCCGAAATTTTAGCCTTTTCTTTTATTTCAGCTTTATTAATGAAGTGATAAGTGGATAAAATCAGCATTACCAACATCCCAGGATTTTTTTGTTAAATTTTCATGCAAGGCCTAGGCATACTACTTGAAAAATGGGCAAAATCTACAAAAAAATACTTCATTATCGAGCAAGGGACACAAAAATAATTCACTATAATTAAAGGAGGGAACTTTCGCCTCAATGGTGTACTTGTTTGCACCATTAAAATGACTTAGATTTGGATCGTTTGAAAAGGTTATAATAATACAATGGAGCCAAATGGTGACCATGCAGGCCGAGCAACTGAGTTGCCATCTGAAGATTATTTTTCGCCATCTGGAGTTAAAGAATAGGATTCCACCAATAGGATTGAATGCGTTAAACGTATTGAATGAAAACAATAAACACTAGCAGTGTACAATTGGTGGAAATGTACTCACCTGGTTCAGGAGGAAAAGTGTTGGTTTAATGCAAACTTTAAGCAAAAGAAAATGTGATTGCATTGTGACCACCAAGTGATGTCCTTAATCATCATGACCTCCACAGTTGCAAGATGATGACACGCGTGTGCTGAAACGGTGAAGCCCTCATCTGCTACAAGTTGTTCTCGTGGAATCAGGAAATCGACGGGCATCTACGTGCAACGGTTTGAGTGAAATTTGTCAACAAACGCAACCTAATTGTCAAGGAAAAGTGATTCAACAGATTGACAAATTCAGATCTTACTGTGCAGGCATTTTGAACGTGTCTCAATCAGATTGCCACCCTGTCTGCTTTTGTCTAAATGGCAGACATAACATTTGACAATAATGACAATCTCAAAAATTTGCCAAGATTTATTTCAATGTCAGACAAAGAATTTGTTGTCGGAAAAAGAGTAGGAAACGCAAAATTGATAGATGCGTTTTAGTTCTTCTAAAAGGTTGTTTTTAATAAACAACTAAATTAAATCAAAATGACTTGAGGTTGACTACAAAATATCATGTTATTTACACACAAGGCTGAGGCACGAACGTAATTTTAAAATATTTGGTAAATGTTTTCAAGTGTTAAAACGGTTACACGTAGGAAGAGGGCGTCATTATTACTCAAAAATGTTTCGATCCGAGAAAACACATAAGAAACAGCACCAAAAAATTTTAAGTTGCTACACTTAGTACAAAATACCATGCTCTATTATCACACGTATGTGCCTTTTTAACTGTAACGAATCAGTTGATTTAAAAAATGTTAATAATGGTTATCGGAGTAGTTTACGTTTTTACATTTTGCACATCAACATTTAGCAACCATCGTCATTTTAAATAGAAAACTATCTGCAGCTTCTACATTTCAGTAGAATCAGTGAAGCTGGAAACTAATTTTAGTCATTTTGCTAGCCGTTAGATCGTGGAATTAGGGAAACGGCAAGGGAATTTGAAGTTAAAATACTTGTTCCTAAATTTTGTAAAGGACATGCATGTGCAGAATATGCTTCGAACAGGACAACTGCTTATTTAGTGTACTTATACTATTGAATCCTATGCATTATTTGGTCTTTGATCTAGACTTATTGATTCCTAACGGATTTTGTAACATTAATATTTCACACAAAGAGATAGCCCTAGTCAGTATTTCCAGTTCATGTTGCAAGACGAACTGCAACACCTTTAGGGTTTATGAGCACATATCCCACGAAGAGAATTTCCTTGGTCCTCATTGCCACCATTAAGTCTATTAACTATACGCTTTCTCGTTTTCAGTAGCAATTTTATCTCAAGTGTGGCTAACGGCCAGTACTGCGAATAGGTGTCTTAAGAATTGAAACAGTTAGAGGTCTGTATTGAATCACTACTCGATATGAACCTTATGCATAATTCAAATGCCCTCAAAACACCGAGGGTAGGCGAAAGATTTGGGAAACCACTATTATCACCCAAATCAAATTTCCAATACTAACTGTACTTGAAATTTGCACAATTTAAACTCACATTTGGATTGTAAAAATGGAAAGTCAAAATCAAACTGGCAGAATCCACAGTAATTCAATTATTACGTCTGGCTTTGGAAATGACCAGCTTAACAATTCTACACAGTAACCATAAATTGAAGAAAAATAGATTCTTGCAATTGCATGAACCCCATTTTGAGAACTACAAAATTTAGGATGATGTGTTACTATCATAAGTAAATAGAAACTTGCAAATTAAAATGCGTGTCAGTGATCCTATTTTTAATATAGTTTTTCTGCTTTATCTTTATTCATTCCTCTCCCTTTATGTTTTGCAAACGTAAAGGCATGGTTAGTGAAAAAGAAGCGAACTAACCAAAAGCACTGTGTGGCGAGAAAGGCACAAGTCTAATTTGATGCAAACAAGACAAGAAACGTAATTGGGGCAGAAGGTTGAATTTCTTAGCAAATCAGAAATTGTCAGTTCATGTCAATACGTAAACAAGGTATCATGTGGAAGGCAATGAGAAATACACAGCCTCAACAAGAGTGTGTTCCCTTCATTTCACACTTGAGCTTCAGCACCAATATTTTCCTTGAGGCTTTTCAATTGTAACGAGCCAGTTTACCACAACATCACGGCAAAACAATACGAGAAGAGAGGCATTGAAACTAGTGGTGGAGCTATTCATCACGAATAAAAAGCCAGCCTTACGTCTAACCGTGGCCTCTTGGCACCGAACGTCCTGACTATCGGTGACTGAGTGTGAAACCACTTCAAGGCATTAAATTATTATCATGAAATTGTCTAATTTTTAATCTTCATTTCAAGGCATTTGAATTAATTAAGTTCCTCTTGTATTTCCAGACCAAACACGATTCAAGGCACTTTCTGATATCATGCTTTAACTTGAGCAATGCCACCAATTATCTGCAAGTCGCAAGATTTGATTTTGAATTCAGCCAACTCTAAAAGTTAATTACATGCATTTTTATTTGCAGTAAACAGTTTTATACCTATTCTACCAAGAACGGCACAATAAATATTGTTTAATGTTTTGTTTTTGCTGCTGTAATGACAAGGAAGATTCTAACGAACCACAATGCGTACAAAAATTCCACGCCTACAGCTTTGAGGTGAACTTGTTTAAATCTGTTATTAGCAAACCAAGGACATACCTAAATTGGATTATCATTTGATCCTAGAAGAAGTTGTTGAGAAGTCACATTTCTTCCACAGGACAATTGAAGATCATTAAAAGTATCTGAGGCTCAATAGGGAGCCCAATATCTGGATGGTTAAGTTGAGATTTGCTTGATGCAACGATCGGATATTTGGTAATATTATCTCAACCAATTATGAGTCGTATTTTTTTTATAAAAATGGTTACTACTAATGATGACAAATAGCTCATTTACCAAAACGGTCCTTGTGCAAGCATGGTGCACCGCAAAACTCCATTAGAAGCTAAAATGACTATTAAAGACGTGGATGTCAGCATTGTGAGATTAAAAATTTACTGTGTATTTTGAATTGTACAGATGAAGACAAAAAGTCAACAACTGTCGTCTGCTTACTGTGAACAGCTGAGCAAGGTAGATTGGGAAGCAATGAATAGAAGACTGTGAGGATTAGCAAACCGCAAAGCAAATTTTGCGCACCAATTCAGATAATCCAATCATCAATTATTAAGCCAGGAAAAAATTGCAAACATTGATTTTCCAAAATCTATAACGACGAAAAACTCTGAAAGTGCGGAGCCATGATGACTTTGAGAAGATAGGGCTGAGTGGGTAAAGTGCAATTGACGGGAATTGAATTTCACACTACAAGGTTGAAGCTGAGGATGAAACCACGAAGCTATAGTAGGGGCCTTGACAAGCTTTTAACGCAAGTTGTACATCTTGAAGTCACATCATTACAAGGAAAGTAACGGGCATGTTACATTTATTTGACAAAAGTTTTTTATCAAGAACTGTCTTTGTGATTTCAAATTGTTATTTTCATCTACACAAACCAACTTAAATACCAACGTAGAAAAAACAGCTTTTTAAATAGCTACTAGCTAAGCACACGCGTCGGCTTTGTGTGCTACCGTGTATTCTTCCTATCGCAAGTGCAATATAGTAAAAAGAAGTCCTGAGCGAGTTTCCGTTTCTCTCTAAGTCACAATCATCTATTGTACGGAACTTCAAGAGTGTGGTCACTTAACAAAGTAGTAGCCAAGCCTAGTACACAGCGGACACATTGTTGCCCCAGTTATTTCACATTTACAAAGCGACATTACACAGAATTCATACATTATTCTACTACGTCACCAGGCTGATTTAAAGATTTACAAAAGGGAACAATTTGTCCATCCTTCTTTAAAATATTTTTTTTAATATTTTGCCCACAGTCGTCTCTTTTATTAAGGAAACTATGCAATAGAAGGGCTTGCACACTGGATTTAGATGCCTAGACCCTTTCTTTGAAGATTGCGTCTATTTCGCTATGATCAACTGTGATGCTTTGTTCAGGTGGGTATTTTAAACTATGCCCTTGCGTTTACACATGAGAATTAGTATTAAGGATATAACTAACCACTCACAGTTGCGCGCATACCCTCATCTCTGCCCGCCTCCCAAATTCACTAGAACTGTGGGTAGTTTCTATTCTTGAAAGGAACCACAACTTGCCTAAAAGGCCCTATCTACACTCTAATTCGTTTCATTGTCCAGTAGCCGTCAGTCGTCGAGAGACTCTTCTATCACTGTCGTCAAGCGCAACGTTGGGCCCCTTCAGAGGGACTCAAATTAGCCACTCGTTGTGGACTCGCTCTGTAGATTTGTCATTTTCCCTCCCTGTTCCTTTAAACGGTCCACGGCAGGTTAAGGGTCGCACACTCCTGTCCTAAATGCATTTCTTTTCAAGCTTCGCATCGGTAGACGAATCTACTGTAGTGACGATCGCCAATTATCAGTTTAAATGAAACCTAATGTTATATCTTAGTCGCCCCCACGATATGCACACAAATCTGTAATCTAATAAATATTGCTAAGTAGCAGAATGCGGAATTAAGATTAATGACCACGGTTTGGGAATCTTTTTCACATAATTTACACGTAATTTCTAGTAATTTTATATTTGAAGGCGAGTTAATTGGATTTCTCTTCACGCAGGAGCAATCCCTACGGCGCCTTGAAATAGAGGTTAAGAAATTTGCGAAAGCAACCCTCAACCCATGAATGTAAATCGTTTTTAAATTGCAACCCGTTATTTTAAACTTCCCCCAGGAATCGCATCAGTTTAACAATAAATTGTGGAACCTCTGAGCAATCCTCTGCAGGAGTTTATTTACTATCATTCTCAACTAACCCAAAAGTACATCTTGCACGCCATTCACTTTCCTGGCTTTATTGCATCATTATCATAACTACCCAAAGCTGACTGCGACATACTGCAGGGAACTGTTCGTGGAATTCAAAAGATTTGCGTTGTCGAAGTAATGCAACATCGGACGTACATCTTGGTTGGTCAAGAGAACTGAGCTCGTGTATTTGAAATTTTACTTTCTTGCATTCTTACTCAACCATACATCGAAGCACACACCAAAGTGAGTGCAGACGTGGACAAGCGGTCTGGCTTGTAAAGTCTGAGCAGTGCGCTTCGTCTTATCGACCAGAACTTCCCAGTCAGCTCGCATGAACACCGAAATGGCGCAGTTGCATTTTAGAGTTCAAGCGTTTTAAGAAATTAAAATACTTCCAGTTTCGGTTTATGTAGCATCGTAATTAGCATTTGTGTTCCTGATGGAGTGCAAAACAATTTCGTTTAAAATTTTGTCGAAAGTTGGTTTGATTGCTGGTGTCTTTAGGGATTAATCAGTCAAACGTTTAGCACCTTTTCACTACTCCTTAACCTACAGATAAATTATCATTGAGTGAACTATGACATATTTTGTCGACAAAGAACTTAGAATAAGGTTTTTGTGAAGGTTTTGATTGGTTGACTCACATCTACAAGTACCAATTATTTAAACTCGACGGTGGCCGAAGAGATGCTGAAAGTCTACACTCACTTTAGGCTTTTCGCATCTGCTTTGTCTATCTTTCAAACTTATTCGGGCATGGAAATTTTCAAGAGTGATACAGACTATTTTATTGGTGTCTAGTCTAAATGAGAGGTGTCTGCAAGACACTTATTTTAAACCACTACTTAATGACGCACGCCTGTCTTCATTCACATGACTTTAATTTTATTATGCTAAAGGACAGAAATTAATGTGATGCAATGGGTAAATCAGCCTTATCATAGCTTCCACTCGCCGTGTTACATGATTTGTGGTGCGACTAAGAAATTATATTAAACAATCCAGATTAAAATATCGATTTTGCCTTTCAATAAAATGTCAATACCTGTCGTGGTAAACAGTCGCGAAGTTTAAAACGTGATTAGGGTCGATGCCCATGAATCTAACCTAGTGGCTGGATCCAATCGCCTTTTACTCATGCTGAAATCGAATCAGTAAGCTGACACTTTGGATTGTCAAGTCCGAATACGAATCCACATCGATGAATGACATCCTAGATTAATTTAAGCAAATACTTGTTCATTACAATCCTAAATTTGCTTCATCATGTTTGGGTATCAAGGGTCTAAAGTTATAAAGTATGAAAATTGCTGAAATTTTTTTAAAAAAGGCCGCAAGTTGTAACATTCTGGTGTAAAATTTAGTAAAATTATCGGAATACTGCTTTTTTAGATATGCCAAAACCAACTATAACTGTCGAGCAACTAGCTTAGCTTTCCAAGTCATAAACGCATCAGTTGTTCGATGGCAATTTATAGAAATGGGCATGCGCATTAAACACAGTCTAAATGACTTATAGCTGAGAATACCGGTGCCAAAACGCAATGTGGACATCACAGAAGTGAAAGGACTCGATTTATCCCAGGTCAAGAATTACGGAAGTGCAGGATATATATTTCGACAATTAGGACTTGAGCTTCGAGGACCACACGCACACACACACGCACACATAAACTCTGAACACGGATATGCATTATACTGACGACGGTTAGCAGTTATCCTAACTTGAACGACAAATATTAACTACTTGTAAATGTCCTGACAACGTAGAAGAGCAATGGTTTTCTTATTTATAATGATAAACGTATCTCACACCACTCGGAGTATATTAAAGATATGCATTTACCTCCATGACTTGCGACATTCTGCAGCATTTGCTTAACAATCCACGAAAGGATTAAAAGCGCAGTTATCACAAGATTAGGGATAAAAAAGGAAGTCCAAACTATTTGTCACCATTAATTCTTAATTAACAGAATTTCGATAGCACCTTGACCACGTTTCTTTAAAATCACACTCCGATCTCAAATCAGCATTGACTGTGTGAGATCAGCAGTTATCACGTACGATGTGAATTATACGTTGGGGTTTGGTTACGCAGCTTCTTCAATGCTGTGTCGGCCATTGACGAAGTACTTTTGCACTGCGTTGGCAATTTGCACTCCAACCTCATTTACTCCAGTCACCAGAAACAGACACGGATCAAATAATTTACCCCACGCTAACTCATGTACAGCGCTGCTAAGTAATTGAATCTGTGTAATGAAATGTGACTGCATCTGCAACAAACATTTTATATTCTCACTAGACTTATTTGCTGCACAGCAGAATTTCTCACCAAACAGGCAACTTGAGCAGCAAATGTTTATTTACAAGATGTTCCTAATAAGTTCTTGACTTTGTGTTTGCAATAGTTGTCTTCAGGTCCAGAGTTTACCTGACAAAAATATCATACTCAAGAACATTGAGTAACATTGATGTAGCTGAAAAGTGGCTTTTTACCTCCCTCAAAGTAATTCGCCCTCATAATGGCGATCTAGATACCCCTCCATGTTTTCACAGAGCTATTTAGAGCAATTGATCCTTTCGACGTGGTCGAATGAGATCACACCAATTAGAAGCTCATGACATTCCCAAATCGAATCCATGTAAACATGGTGCGTGCTAATGCAAACGGCTGATTGGTTGATCCACATCAATTTCGATTGGCGTCATGTGTGCAGCATGCTCAATCGCGCATATCGCATGCGTGTATATACAGGGGGCTACAAACTTGCTTGACCCATTAGAGTTTAATGGTTTCAACAGCGTGGCCAAAGGCACTTTTTGACGAATTTTCGAAGCAATAAGCGACCAAATTATGAATGGATTCTTACAGTAGGAACTATTTAGGCAAATCGAGTCATTCTTTGAACGATTTACAAGTTCTGCAGACCAAAGATTCACCCCAAAATTCTTCTGTACACAGTACCATAACGACTGATGATCAACCATCAACCCCTCCCTCAGTGAACATTGATGTCTCGCAGAACACTTTTCCAAAGGATACCTTTCCCAGAGGCCACAATATTAAACAGACCAGATTCATAACGCAATCGAGTGAAACATTTGCTTCTCATGAACAGGGAGCAAACCAGGATGAGCCACGCGACCTCCTAAAACCTCCTCCCCCAGCTTCAGGCGGCAAAGCAAATTTAAGCAAATTTTCATGCTGCGCAGTGGCGTATCCCGATGATCCTGTTGAGGATCATGTCACTCTACCTAGCACAACTAAAACTGGTGCAAAAGAAACTAATCAAGAGGGGGGAGGACCTGTGGTTGGAAATTTCAGAGGACTTTCGTCTTGCTTCACGTCTCTAAGTCGCTATGGATATGATCGCAAGCATACAGGCCCCTTGTTAAAGCTCAATATCAGTGGAACACCTTTCATTGTTAAAGTTAGCACCCTGAGGCGAGATCCAATGGTCTTTGAGAAAATTCTTGAAGACGCAGAATACATTTCGGACACAGATGAATATTACATGGAAAGAGATCCAGTGGTGTTTCGGTTTGTGCATGCTTATCTGCGATACCAAGAAATGCATTTACCCCTCAATATCTGTGGTCCACTATTGGAAAGAGAGCTTGAAGCTTGGGGTCTGCAATTAGGCTTTGACTTACAAAGGTGCTGCTTGGGTCCAGTAATGGATACCAAGTCCAAATTGGAGTCATTGAAAAAATTCGAGGAGGCTTTTACCGAAACTTCCGCTGTTTACAAATTTCGCTGTCAGTAAGTTTTTTGCGTTTTTATTTTACAGCGTTCGTTCACACAAGTCATTCAGCGATGTTATGTGTGTAAACTGTCTCACGCACTATCTTAAGGTGCTTACGTTTCGGTCAATTGGCTGCAAACGAGTTTCTGAGATTTGAGCTTAGAACGCATTTAATAATCATTTAATTTCATTCGTTTTTTTAATAGACATAGTTGATGTGGCTTGCAGTAAACAAGTCGATCGATTCGAGCCGTATTGATTAGATTGGATGAAAGTTAAGCAAAATTAAATTAAACCTTACCTACGTTTACATCTATCCTTTTCAATTTATTGTAAATTGCTTTCATTTATTAAGTTCTGCAACCGACATATGGTGTTTAAAAATTGTCACAAGCCCCAGGGACTTGACTGCAAAAGTTTTGTTTTGCATACAGTGTGATAGCTCCCTTCACTCGTAATTATGTGTCAAAATAGGATCAATTGTTAGGCCCTCCGCGTAACGTGACCTACCAACAAATAGCTGGGTATTTAAGCGTTGAGACAAAGTAGTACATTGAGCCCATTGCACACTTGAGCATTTTTAAGGTGATAGTAACGCTAGCGAGGCTGCAACTGCGGATTACTTTTACCTACCTACCGGTTCCCACATCCCACCCACTAAGCAAAACAAATACATTCACAACTGCATTTAAACATGGCTCTGGTGAATTTGCCTCCGTTTACTCTTGACTCGCGAGTAGTACAGAAATGTTTTTGGATACGCGTCCTTTACCCTTACATGCTTCATCTAATTGGCCATATGTCTGTGAGTCGATGTCAACCAATTACTGGGTGCTGAATTGTATATGCAAATGGGTCCATTTTAAAACTGCCAAATTCCGTAACATTACTGACTTGCTGGTGTACGTTCCTTCTTCTATTGGCACAGGATTACTGATATTTTGGTACGCATGCTTGAACTCATGCATATGCAAGTGTTGAATTTTTAATTGATCGGTAAATTTCAATCAGTCTTCGCTTTCAGAAAAGCGATAATCATCAAATCTGCAGTGCTAATTAAATGGTAACGGAAAGTAACGTAGTGTGGCTTTTACTATAACACTTCCTTCAAAATCACTCACGCAATGAATTTGTTTGAAAAATATTACCAATTAAGTCTTTACCTCACAACATGGCATTAGTAAACAAACACACTATAGAAAGTAGAAAAGTGGCGCAGTCGCACAAATACATTTTACCACTTAACAAAACTCCATTTCGAAAGAGACTTTTGCGTCGCTAAGACCCAGAAATAATTCTTTTGCAAACAGTTGTAACTATTACAAAGTCTCTTTTTAACCGAACCACCACAAATCGTAAAGCTTCGTGAAACAGACTTGTGGAATAATCTGGCATGCTAAGACGCCAGAATTTCTGCCTGCTTGAAGAATAAACCTAGTAAAATCTTGAAAAATCGGTGCGTTTTTTCGTTTTTCCTTGAACCCTTACTTTTGATTCTTTAAAAACAAATGCATCAGCAAAACAGCGTTTGTGTTGCTAAAATGTTTTGTTGTACATTTAAATACCCATTTTATGGTATTGCAACAAATCGCGGCTTTGGGAACATAACGCAACATTTCGCCTTCTTTTCAGTTAAACTGAGCACTCAGATGTGTAATTTTAATGCTAATTTCGGGCCTTCCTCTGGTCCGGTTCTGCCATGAAGCTCATTTGAAGACCGTCGTTCAAAGCACTTTATGTTAATTATGGTTCTGGTGACTTAATCAAGTCTTCGGAGATTTCGAACGACTCGCACACTAAAATATGTAACTGGCTGCTGCAGTTTAGATTTCGTATAATTTACAGTCCCATTTGGAAGGACTATCAACGCGTTTTAAGAAGCAAAATCTTGAAATCTGCTACAAAGATTCGTTTTGGCTACCTTTGCAAACCTTATGCAATTTGCGTTTTCGTTCTGATAGCCATCAAACCGATAATTTAGCTCTGTTTGTCATACGCTATTTCGAAAGTTTGACATTTCCATCTAGCTGAGGAGGCCTTGGAGTTGCATACACGGTGGTTCCAACAGTTTATGTTCAACAATAAGGAATATTCTATGGAATATCTCGAATGCACTTCTCACTTGCCACAGATGAGATGCTACGCAATCGCGTCTGAGATTGACGGAAATTTGTATTCACCAAATCAAAAAAGTGTTTTTGCAGTAATAAATTTGACTAATCAAATCAATGATGAGCTGCAAGGAAATAACGTTTCGAGATTTCTGGCTTGCTTGGTTACGCATGTGATTCTGGGCTGCTTACAGATGTCCAGAAAGATCCAAAATGTCCTCGAGGCCTTATTGACAATCCTAGACTTTTCATTCATTTTCAATATTGCGGAAATGTCGTGTTAAGCGAGCTTTCGGCTAATGGGCCACTAGGTTGGATGGTGGATCATATTAGTCAGGTCTCGTGTTTTAACTAAATACTAGCATAAATTTGCCGTGCAAAACACAATTTTCTGATTTCTTTGAATGTACAGTTGAATAAATCAATACATAACTACGTCAATTTAGCGTTAGCTCACTCTAAATGCGATACTATCCTCGACAGTAAGTGCCTTTCTGTTTCGGTTATATTTAAGTTACTATACAGGTTATTGAATGAAGTAAAGTAAATTGACAAGACCTATCGCTATCCTGCATTAAAATTCGAAAAAAATGCATTGTAATTTTTGCCTTTGCCTCATTTATAATGCTGCACGAATTTAGTATATCTTTGTACAAAAAATATCCATTTATTCTTTATAAAACAGCCACTATAGAACCCGAGGGATTAACACATTTCAAAAACGGTTATATATTAACAAGTACCAAGCAAAAGCAGCCTAGACAGGGTGCATGCCGGACGGTATGGAAACCGCAAATGTCATTTGAGGCATACTGGTCTAACTGGACACGAATTCAAGTTTGTTTTTTTGGATATATTTGGATATATTAAACGTATTCCAGTGAATGTTAGTACGTGTATTCCATCTGCTAAGTTGTCACCTCCTGTGCTCAGATTTAAGGGAAGGTCTGATTTTTGAAACAAACACATCAGTGAATGGTTAGTCTGGTATGTGGGTTCGTACTTGTGCTAGTCGGGCCATAGGAGTTCCTTTGTGCATAAACAGTCCCACACCGACATGGTGGGTTCATGTGGATTCAGACAAACCTAGTTTTGCAGCAAACTCATCGAAGCAAAAATCTGCCAGGCGTAAAATGGGTCTCTTGATCGCATTTGTGCATTTTGGGGGTACTATTTTCGAGATCGAGAAAATAAAAAGTTTTAAATGGAATTAAAATTTGTTATTTTGAGGCTGTTTAATGGTAAGTTAGAATGGGCTAAGTCTGTTGTTAGAATCTAGCGTCCTAATGCACTACGATTCGATCTAGTTAGTTGCGCTGAGTAAGCATGAATGTCATGTATTACTTCATGAAAGACCTGGAAATAGATTTCACAGCTGGCCATTCAGAGTTGCCTGTGTTTACGAAGGCTTATCAACCACTTATAGAGATTTGAAGCAGATTAACTGCACTACACAGACAGATATTTTATCCCACTTGTCATTCTCAGAAATATAAAATGCATGCTTAAATGTACTAATGTCCTAGAATGGGTAGCCATGACAATCCGAGCCTAGATCCTTTTATAAATCTGCTCACACGAGTTAAACTGACACCAACATTCAGGATAGATTTCCTGGCACTATATTTCACTTAAAGTCTGTGCTTTTCTGCTTATACCTACGTTCTGTATCTTAATCCTTTTAGAATAAGCAAACGATGGCAAACATTTTGTGAGAATGTTTGGCGTGTGATCACCGATACTCCAAAAAAACGTTGGCTGGCGACGTCATCCACTGGCAGTGCTTTGTCCAAAGACAACTGCACGGAGACTCTACAAGATGAAGGAATCTTAACCCTAGATTCTTACCTCGTTAACGGAGCTACCGTTCCTTCAGGAGCCCCAACCCACCCTATGGATGGAGAGGAAGCTGAAAATGGAGGCAGTGAAACCGGTGATCGCTTCTCAAGCAACAGGCCCTTTAACTGGCGAAGTCTTCAAAAGACCCCCAAAGTGATTATTTTCAGTCGGTTGTATGTGGCGGGCCAAGCTTTGGTAGTTATGTCTCTCATTATTTACATGGTCATCGCCTATGTACCTAGTCTTAGGGAACCACTTGGTCCACCAATGAATGCTAAACTAAACGAAAGCGACATGGGTACGTACGGAACGTTCCCCGTTTCCAGATCCTACGCCACCTTCGACACAGAACAAAGACAGGCTACACAACCAGTACTAGCAATTCGAGTACTCACTTGGATCTGTGTTATCCTTTTTACCCTTGATTTGATAGCCCGTGCAATATTCTGTCCACACTTCTTCCGATGGCTGCTCTCGATTTATACCATAACAGACATAATTTCTCTCATCCCCTTCTACGTCGAAGGCATTATATTTGCTCTCATAGAGCAAATGTCCCCCTCCCCCGAAACGACAGCCAAGGTACAAAAATTGTTTTACATTACTGACCTAATCAACGTGCTCAAAATCTTTGTCATCGGCCGACTCTTTCGACTTCTGCAGCGACAACGATCTACTCGGGTCTTGATTTACACCATCAGAACAGCCTCTGTAAACATGTTCATGGTGTTTGAGCTCATGGTTCTGTGTGCGATTTTCTTCGGCACGACAATATTTTTCTTCGATCAAGGCATATCGAGCGTGTTCGTGGGGATATGGTGGGCATTTACAACGATGACCACTGTGGGCTATGGTGACGTAACACCATCTTCGGTGCCTGGTCGCGTGATAGCCGTGCTCTGCATGATTGCCGGTATACTCCTGACATCGTACACGGTACCCGTCTTGGTTAATGACTTCCTCCTTTTCTACGGTCATGCCGATCAACTTGCGTGGATGCGAAGAGTTCACAGGACGGCCACTGCAAAGCGTCGAAACGAGAGGCGTGATTTGATGGCGAAGAGACGAATAACGCGAGTTCGAGCTTTACTAAAGAACGCTGTTATTGGTGTCGGAACTGCACTCGATGGAGAAGGAACGAACAGAGGGAGTGGAGGAGACTATGGTTTCAAAGCAGGTCAAATGTTTCACAGGAATGGTCTAACACTTGGCCATACCAAATTCAGAGATTCACCATCAAAATGAATGGGCTTCAAACCAAAACATTACTTGAGCTGCGTTTTCTAGGTCTTTGTATAAAAACAAGATACTATTACAACTTTTGTACTTATTATTCACTGGTTTGGTACATCAGTGTTTAAATCAGCTGGAAGGAAACTATCATTTATTCCAATGAAATCTTAAATAGTGTCTTGTAGTGCGGGAGAGTCAAGATTTGGCCCCTTTTCCGAAATAGCTTGGTATCAAGACATCTAAAAGTGTTGTAAGAAAATTGCTACAGCAAAAGCTTTCCATTCGCCTTCAAGAAGCAAATGAATACATTGAGTTTGGATGTGAGGCAGGGGCGCGTAGCTGAAGTCCATCAAACTGAAACGACAACCAAGTCTGTTTTCAGTGTTACTGATACCCACAGATTGGCACTTGTACATTGCTGTCCCCTTCGATTCCACCTAAATTAGCATAATTTCGACAATGAATGTGCCGGCCATAATTTGTCTTACCATCTGTCTCAAAAGTATTGCCTTGGCATTAATCATGGACACCCCTTGCTAAATGATGTTTGACGAAGTCGTTTTCATGCAGACCCCTCGAAGTCATCTGATCATGATGCTTTGATATAAAAGTGGGCTTTGAATACGGTTGAGGGGAAGGTACAGTCAACGAGGCTTTCATGTTTCCTGATATCTGTAGCATTCATCAAGGACTTCAACTTGCGCAACCGTTGAATTCCGAACTCCGAAGCAGGATAGAGGTGACGATGACCAAATTTTGACAAATTTAAAGCGTAAAGTTTGATGCTTGTAAGCTCACAAACCATTGTTAAGCAATTAGCTAAGTAGACAGGTCACGAGCGTGTCCTACATTCTACCATGTGGTAAATAGTAATGGGGAAAGCATTCCAGGCATTGGGACTTTAAATAAACCTAAATTTGGCTAATATTAAGTTTTTAATTTAGCAGGATTAAATTGGTGGCTTCGTGGGGTTGATAGTTTACTTACTTATGGGTTTGACCTTTACGGTTTCAGACATGTTAAATGTCTCATTGTTCACGCACACTATCGTTTCACTGACAAACATATAACAGTAACTTACTCAATGGTCGTATTTTCACTTCCTCTGGGGTTTTACGAGTGATCTAGGTCACAACTTTGTGAAACCTATAAAATTAACCGCATTTTATGACCTGGTGTCGCTCAATAGCATGACGGGTACTTTATGCGTGGCAAAACACTTAATTTCCCGATAAAGTGCCTTCTCCATCGACAACATGACTTGACGCTCTTTGTCTTCAATGAACACGACAACTGATTGGCTCACTGTAATGCTTAGCGCCAGAAATTCACGCCTTTTTCACAAACTATGTTCCGGTTGTGGGATAAACTCACTGCTTTGACAACGGCTTTTTAATGTCAAAACATGATAGAAAATATTTCTTCATCTTATCTTCGTGTGTGGACACTTAGTCTAAGTCGTTCGTTTCAAATTTGAAGCGAAACCTTACAAATTCCAGTAGGTAGTTATGCTCTCTTAAACGTCCACTTAAAATGTGAACAGGCATATCAAAATGCTACGTACTTTAGACAGTTCAAGGAGTAACTAAAACAAGGTAATAAATATGGATAATTGATATAACAACCATCGATTTCTTAAAGGCATTTGCTGTTTATGGGTTTGCTTCGAAACAATTCATGATTATGAAAACTGACTTTGCTTCGCCATTTGTCGTAGGCTACAATCTGAAGAACTTCTTCAGGACTTGCTAACATGGACAGCATTTTGCCCCCAAACTTCTACCTTGAGACTTGTTGCAGTATGAGCCAAGAGAGGGAGAAAGAGAACCACTTACTAGGTGCCTCAGCAAAATGGTGCTGTGTGCGTGTAATCAAAAGTAGTGCGTGACCAATGTGGGTTGGTGACCGACACAGTCTGGGTGAAGTTGTAAAAGTACAAATAGCTGAATGGCCAGATGAGCTAAGTGGAAAGCGGGGGAGGAGGATGCACAGTTAGCGTTTGAGCAGACAGTCTCGCATAGCTGATGGGCTCGTTGTGAGAAGGGGTCAGTGTGTCGGGGAATGCAGCAACCGAGTTAACGAGCTTGAATCAACGCGATTCACTACAGCCACATTTTTTGTCAAAAGTATTGATTTTCACTACTCTCAACACCATGGCAAAAGAGGTTATTAAAGCATTTCCCTTCCAGATTGCGACGGCGCGTACAGTCCACCGTTAGTCTCTTTCGGTTATGGCGACACATCACTCTACTTGCTTGCCATTTAGGCAAACAGAGACTTACAATAAATCCTTATCTGATAGACTTCTGTGGAACTTGTTTTTGGATAGACTATGCGTAAATTAAAAAAAAAGCTTCTTATCAGCACTTTGGGAACGTTTATTTATTTACGTGGAACAGCTAGCGTGACGCCGAAAAAATTCAAGATCTACAGTCGATGTTGCATACCCAACTCATATTCCATCGTTTTAAGCTTGAAACAAACTTTTACTAGTGGTTCAGGGTGAGAGAATAAGGCATGATCTGCATAAGAAAGGATGACGCCCTTGTATGGAAGATTCGGCTCTCAGTCGAATCAAGGATTCGATTCTGAAAGTTAATTTTCAGACGTCGAACAGTACACTTCGACCCACTCACAGAGTAATCAGAATGATATCAGGATTTATTTGCACTATTCCTTTGCTGTCAAACCATCTTCCTGCAACCCCCACTGTTAGCTAAACGGTGCTGTACTGTGGAGACTTTCTACGACGCAGTGTGCTGAGCACTTCTTGCCAGCATAACTCACACCTCGTGACGTTAAGACCAATTTAGAAAGGCGCATTAGTGAGCTGTTCATTCAATTACTTTTGAAGGCAATAGAACCACTTCTTTTCAGGAAAGCCTTTGAGGTCAACAGCAGAATACCGCAAAAGCACATCGTCATTTCAGACCATAGCCACGTGTGATGACCTAGGCAGTCCAGCGTGGCTTGCATCCAACCGTGTGACCAGTTTGAGTCATCTTTGCAAAGGCCTTGCAAGCAGCCATGTCTGGAAGACACGTGACTGAAGACGGCTATTCCGACACACTTTCTGACTTCTAAATCATGTGGCTGCTGTATTCAAAAAACTAATGTACTTGCTTTCAGGCATACGGTGCCTGACATACCTTGAAAATGATATCTTTTTGAGGTCAGTTCCAAAATTATCATAACATTGTCATTTTGGATTACTGTGAATAGCATTTTGTTTATCTCTTTGTAATTTTCATGAAGCCGAAATAAATTTTAGCTGTACGAATGAACACGTGAAATGCCTTTAGCGGAGATTCCAGTATGATGTCCTAGGCTGATTTCAGCGTCTCGTCTCGTTTTGACGTGGACGAAAATCATATTTTTGTAAGCGCAAATGCTGTGAGATATCTTATTTGTGCCTGTCTGCAGCCCATGAAAAGTTAGCTTCGATCTTAAAAGCGTCGATTGTATCCCCAAGCCCAGTTTTCCCATATTCACCTCTGAGATCCACTATGGTTTTTTCTCATTCTCACGATCATTCAAGTTCCGCATTAATATGCGCAATTCACATTTTGTTGTCCTTGTTCATGCAAAATACTACATTTTAATTGCGTTACTTGGTTCGTGACAATCCGAAGTTAGGATTGATGAGCAGAATCTAGAATTTGCGAGTGATTCGAGGTTACCATTGAGAGCGTGATCGTTATCCCACATATACACACACACACACATAATTTCAATTTAAAAACCTTGATTAGGCCGTCTTCAAACTCTGGTGACCTACCCTGAGTTTTCTGATTACACTGACATCTCTCATCACCCTAACTAAAGACTACAAACAACTTTGGCACACACACGTTCACCTAGGATTTCTTTTCCATACCACATTGCACTTCTTTCTTGATCCGGGTCTCACTTATCCGCTTGGAAATACCAAAAAAACCAGGTTCAAAAGGCTACCTAGAGACCAAGTCAGCTATGTAACAATGTCGATAAGGTTCAAACAAGGAGTTGGTCTTCTTTACTGACTCCCATTATGTACCCTCGCTCCTCTGTGCTTCTAGTGGCCATCTATCAGTCGAGACATCATCGCCTCTTGTCTGGGTAACTCGGTCGATTTTTTGTTCTTTACATGGGTTTAAGTCCAACACCAGGGCCTTAACAGCCGAAAATAGTCTAATTATGATTAATTAACTTTTCAAAAATCTAGAAATCGGCTCTAGAAAGTCAACTCGAAGTGAGAGTCTGACACGAATCAACACCAATTTTGGTTTAATTTTGGCCTGGGTTTAGATATGCCATCTTTCGACACTCAGAAATGCAAAATGTTTAAAAATAAACTCCTATAGAACTTAGCCCGAACATACTAAGCACATTTTCTAGTGTAGACCTAGTGGCAGCCTTAAAAACCAATGATGAGCAAATTGGTGCACACGCACGTAGCATTATGCAGTCAGTTTGAGTGCTTTTGCACGCCAAGGATAAGTGGGCTTGAGCCTTGCAAATACCTGCGACGAGCCTTAGCTGCAAAACACGGGGACTTGGGCTAGTTTTCATACACAACCAGTCTGCTACGATCCTAACCAATTCAGATCGATTTCAGTTGACCCACTATGGTTTGCTGAACATCTGTTACAACGGATCAAGAGTAGGTCTATAAGGTTCTTTTAAGCCAAATAAGAGAGTGTTCTAAGGGAGTTTAAAATCGACACACAGTGTACTCACACCTCGTTTGCTTCACGCACGTTCCTTCGGCTAGGAAAGAATACGAACTTTCTGCATGGATTGATTTCCCAAATTTTGTAATCACGCTTTTTTCTACATGCTGAAAGTTTTAGATGACATAATCGGCGTAGACTAATTCAGTTCTATAAATTTACTTACAGATTCACTCGGTAGTTCACTGTGAAGGCATTGAATCATTAGTGAAGAATCTGTGCATACGTTAGATGAACGTATGATTTGACTGAGGTGGTTATTGGCAACAAGATGCGGCAGTTACAATGGACCATTGTGGATTATCTGAAATAAGACCGGAGGACATGGCAAACGATACGCCATTTTGGTTTGAATTGCTATTTAATCAAAAAATGGCCTTACTTAGTCGATGAAACTCACACAGGCATTAGATTGCTGTAAGATGATGGCTACTTTAGGCATTCCCAGAACTCACGTAGACATATGTTCGCCGACTGTGATAGCACCCGATTGGTATGGTGATCTTCAATATTGCTCCCCTGGACACCTCTTTTTTTTGATGGGATTAAACGCTTACAGATCAGACAGGACCATTCTCCACACGAAAGCAGACTTATTGCAGCGCTGGCAATCGTTGGATTACAAAGCATTTGTTGCGCCTAAGCAAGCCTTAAACTTTGAATAAATTTGCCATAGAACTCAGTTGATCAGGACTCTATTAATGTTTACCAGAGGTAAACGGTTTGCCTAAGGGGCTCGATAGATCAGACGAATGTTTTCGCAACAACAACAAGCTACTTTAATAACATAAGTAGCATGGACAATTTTTGTAAGACTAGCGCTCTGCATACGGAAGTGATTTAGACCTGCTGTCGTCAGTAGGATTTTTATGACCAGTCCCCCCCTCTGTTAGGCTTTACTCTGGGTTTCCACACGTGAATACAAGCGAAGGTACTACTGAGGCTGTTGTTTTTTACCTGGCGTGTGAAGTCTTAGCATCACAGCACTGTTAGGTACCACAACCACGTGAGCCCGAAAAGCGTAAAATCGTTTTCGACTTGAGAGGCATCAAGCGTTTTTTCCTTACACCCCGACGATGGACAACATGCTACGAGATAATCTAGCAGAGGATAGAAAGATCGAGTTATGGCAGCCAATGCTTAACCAATTAAAAGAGGTTCTTCAGTTGTATAAATTAGTTAAGTGTTATGATTTCGAAAGACTATAGACGGGTTTTTTCCCATGACTAGGAAGGTCAACATAACAGCCTGAAGAATGTCTTCAAAACACTAACGTGCCACCATGGAGCGAAAAACTCCTGAAGGTCAAATGCTGCTTGCAATCACCTGGATTGTAACTGCAGCCAATGTGAAGGTGGCCTTGACTAACTGGCTCACAATACGACGAGTTGCAGAGCAGGAATTAAACCGATGAATGGGTAGGCATGGCAACGAAACGCGAAGGTTTGCAAGAACCCTTCAGGCACTCCAGATCGGTGGTTCAACCTACCGTGCACTGACAAAGCTGCCGCCAGCTACGACACAAAACCGTCCCGTCAGACTTGCTGTGAATCGTGTTTATTCACACCCCTTAATCCGGTCGCTTCACCTCCGACACAGGGTTCCCCTTTTCGCAGCATGTCGCCAGCCGCACGAAGCCTCAATGCCCCCTTCATTAGCACATTTATTTTGGAGTATCCCCACACCTAGGTCTCGATGTTAGCGCATGTATGACTCACACACCCGAGGTGTAAGTACTCACGTGCAAACCCCACACACGACACAACGTGGTTGAGCTCTGAAGTAAACGATTGTGTCCACGTCCTCCCCGATCTTTTTCTTCATCGCGGGTACCAGGGAAACGTAATCGGGCCAGGGTTAATCCCGTGGCTCCGGCGTGGTTCAAGACCACATGATGGGACCCTCAACAGACTTGAGTCGGCGGCGAGGGCATTCGTGATGATAAAACCACCCCGGTAACGTTTTCCCGGCGCAATCAAGCGGATTTAGAAGCACAATTTCTTGAAAAATTTCACATTTTAATGGGACAAAGCACGATGGACACTGGCAATTTCCTCAGTAAATCGCAGAGGAGCGGGCGTCTCATCCCGAAGCAAAATCCATCCACATAATTCGAGCTAGTAAACAAAAAGTTTGCCAAATTTTACACTACACAAGGCAGCGGTAGGAGAGAAGACCAACTGAAGTATGTGAGGGTAGAGGGAAAGTCATTGGTCATATTACATTCAAACGTAATCGTTATTGACAAAGTCTCAGGGGGAGGGGGAAGTGTACAGAGGGAGGCCTGACAGCGCGCATGCGGCACAAACAACGATGATAGTGAAAAAAAGTGGAACAATAAATCACAGCAGGCGACCAAAAGCAGATTACGTCATCACCCGGGTGTAAATGAAGCAGCAGAGAGGGAATTTTGCATTAATATCACTGGAATGAAATTCGCCGGGGGATTGAAATTAGAGATCATGATTTGTTAAGTAAAAATAGATCGGGCAGTTCAGTTGGAGCCTTTGTATGTTTTAGAATGGCGCAACAACCACTGCAGAGTAATGTCTAAAATGAAAAGAAAAAACAGTAAATTGTCTCGAATCAATTTTGTTTATTGGTGTGCTATTAAATCTCGCTTTAGACTTTGACTAGCGAACATTGGATAACGATTAACAGATCGCCTTCCGCAACAGACAAATTGCCGCCTTTATACAAGTAACGATAAATCCCAAGAACGATTTTGAATTCACTAAATTTGTAGCCGAAGGGAAGGTTCACAGTTGGGTTGGTACAATGCTTGACCTTTGAATCAGAGCCGCCTTTTTTCCAAAGGAAAGGGACAAATCGGCCGTAGAGTCTCCCATATAACACGTTCGAAGAACCATGGGACACGGACGCACTAGATGCTTCCAAACCAAATGCGAACCTGCACGGTGGTTAGGTGCTTGACCTGAGACCGGTATGCACCCGAATCACCAAGTTTTAGAATAAACACGAAGCTATTCGCTAGTGCAAATCAGCGGAAACCTACACAGCTCATGAGCCCGCAATTTTGTCAAACACTCACCTTTCTATGCAAAAATCAGCACGCGACGTTCAAAACATAACCACTGGGTGTGTTCTCTCAGGGTTAAGCACCCTCAATGCAACAAATTAAATTCAACCTTCAAACATATATGTTACTTATAAGAAGCTTAAATCCACAAGTTAAACAAGCCCCGAAAATTCGGAACGAGAAAATGACAATAATTAGCTAAGGACCAAAAGCAAGTTTGCAAGGTAATATTAAATACGAACGCTAAAGTGTACATGGTACATTTGGATTTTAGCTTAAAGTAACGTTAATCATGTCAAAGTGATCTGTACCCGTTCTTGTCAACACATCTTAATCGCTTGCTGGACACCACCTCGAAGCTTTTGAGCCAGCAGATGACGTGCAGCGCAATACAACTTCGGTATCGCTTTTAAACCCATTATCAATTAATGTGCATCATTAATTGATATTTATCCTTGAGATAATACGTCAGAAAACTTTTGAAGTTGCCTTTCTGTTTTCGAGAAACAGACGTTGGCATGTGTCTGAGCCAGAGGAACAGAGTCCAATAAATAAGCGTTATTTACACTGCAAAAATTTTACCGCATGATTGCAGACTTTGGTCCTCGATTGTGCACGAGAAGTCCAAGTTGGTGGATACGTTTAACACCAAACGAGAGGGCTCTATTTTCAGAGCACCCTGGATCCCCTTGATGCTGAGTCCACTAAATATTACTCACCCCAAAACGCTCACAGATTTAACCGGATTTACTAAGTCATTGTTTTCGTAAACACCTATTCAAAATACTCAAATTATACTTTAAACAGTGGTTGAAAACACCCACACTTAGCAAAACGAATCAGAAAAATTCCACTTCACCGAATCAAAAATTTCAAAGCAGATCAAAGCCTAAGCAACCGCTTTCAAACGGTTGAGGTAATTAGGTGTTTATGGTAAAAAATTGTTTCAATTAAATTTCAGTATTTACAGAATATTTTGATCAAAATTTTATTACTTTGTGCCTTTTACATCACAATAAGCATTTCCGTTTACACGTATTTTTTTTATCCAACTTGAAAGTAGAAGCGTTTACGAAGTAAAGTAAAATGAAATTTGAAAATTCGAAGTCAGATTCGCAAACACGTCATATGGAAAATGAGGCTATCCGAACATTTTAACCAGTTCTAAATTATACTGAACCGCCTTAAATGCCTAACGCTGATCTTAGCAAGAAATATAACCTGTGCTAGGGGTAGAATGCCAAATTTTTCAACCCCTATACTATTGACGCACTGCTAAATCCGGAACCACTCATAATAGGTTTTCATAGACAAACTGTAATCGTAAACCAAAAATAGCGCATACCAGCTCTGACGCCGGCATGAATAAAGCGGGGTAGAATAACAATAACGTACCGACATTGTCCTGTTCTTTACATGAAATAGAGTAACAACAGATTTCACGGTTTGGAATTGTATTTAAACTTAGCGCATCGATTAACTCCACTTCAGTTAAGGCTGCAGGCAAATCGCGTTTATTTCCGAGCACTAGAACGGGGATTCCGGCGAGCTGGGGCTTTTCCATCAAAGTATGCAGCTCATTACGAGCGGCTTCCAGTTTATCTCGATCGGCTGCATCAACCATAAACCTTCAGGATGGGGAAAATATCAAGTGTGATTAGGAAGGCCGTGACAATGACATGCAAAAAGGGCCCATTTCAAATATAAATCACAAATTATTAAATAGTGCAAATAGGCAGCTCGCGCAACCATAATTGTTCCGTAAAAGTTAAATACTGCATAGGGAGCAAGCATAAAGTCTACTCATTGAGTTGATATGATCTGCATTTGACATTGTTCGCATACTCACAGATGGACACTTCGACTTTCAAGAATCCTAGTAAAAACTGAAAGATAATAAAGAAAACAAATTTAACCAAACAATACGACTCACAGTACGGCGTTTACACCACGACAGTAGCGTTCCCACATACTACGGAACCGAGGTTGTCCCCCAATATCCCATATCTAAAAGTTCGAAATTAGCTTCATAGCACACTACTTTTATGGAAACTTTTCCTTTAGTTATCTTCTTCATATTAAACCCTACTGTAGGGATCATATCCTCGCAAAATTTCCCTGACTAAAGTAGTGAAATAAATTGTGCAGTAATATACCGCAATAAGATTCACGAATGTGGTTTTTCCAGAGTACTGCAGGCCCACTAAAGTTATTTCCATTTCTTCTTTCCAAAATAGACTGCGAATCCAATCTAAAATACGCTGGAAGAAAGGCAACATCCTGTGGCCCAATCCGGTGAAATCAAAAGCTCAAGAGACTTATGGCCCTACACCAACCCGGATGAAGAATGAGGGTGAAATTATGTCGATTAGAAAACAAAATTATGGAAGAGCGAGTATACCTGATCTGTAGTTTCCGTATTATATTGCAATGACGATGCCTCATTGATTGTATTATATCTTTGGCTTAGTAGATTCGTAAAAATGAAGATCTAAGGATAGCCAATTATGGTGAATAAAAGGCGTTTTGGAAAGTACAATATTTTAGAAGGTAATGACATATAAATATCAGCACTTAACATTAACGTGTTCCTCAAATCAGCTTAGTTCTCTAATCATTGTTGCGAGCAACCAGTGACTAATATATCATTTAATTAATGGCATAAATTAGCTATAGCTTCTCGATCAAAGAATCAAAACAGAAAACATTCAAATACACGCAGTGTATAGTTTATCAATACTAAAAAAAGTCAGTTATCAAAATTCAAGTTAAATTACTTTTGAAATTAATTGAAACCACCTTATGTCAAATAAATTTGGATGACCAATTGAACAGCAAGCTGAAACATTGTTTAACTATAGTGGACTTATAATGTTGATTTAAGAGTCATATTTATGGCACGCATGCAATGCTGAAATTGGTAGCTACATTACGGTCCAGGAGATTGGCATAAAAACTTTGTCTACAAACAGGGGTCAGACAGATGCATTTTTGGAAATTTAAAGCAAGTTTATTTACAATTTTCTTCCTTCCATACATTTTTTTTCCATAGGCACCAGAGTGAATCAAGTGAGTAAATAGATGTTAACTAGAATATTCCTGTAACCAGTTGTGGGGCCCTCAAAACGGTTCACAAAAACAATATGTGGACGCTGGCCAAGTAAGTACTCATTAAAACTAAGAATTAGATAAAAGACAAAAAGATCTTATGACCTGATGAACATAACAGTGAGGATGATGCATAGGGCATTTGTTACAATTACACAGGACGTTGTATTTCTAAACATGGCGGTCTTATAAAACTGCATAAAATGGACATTTTAAAATCAACTCCTTCAGCAAGCCGAATCTGACATTCAGAGCCAGCATAAACTAGAAGAAAATATATGAAATCTTAAAGAAGCGTATGCGAGTTAACTGCCTTGTCATACTTTGAAAATGTGTTTGATATGTTTGTACATATATATCAAGTTACTTTGTCAAATTTCAGCCGGTCTAATAATTTTAGGTAAGTTATTGTGTACTAGAGAGTCTAACTGAAAAGAGTAGGGGGGTGACTCTCAACTTGCACAAATAAACACAATTTCAATATATGTGTTCTGCTTTTTTGTATAGTTTGAGTTTTGTAAAACTTAATTTGATAATTTAAAATTACTACAATTTCAAAATAATCCACAATTGAGTTGCTTGCTCTTGTGGCCAGATGAGCGTTCTAGGTCGCCTAATGAATTACTTGCTAAAGGCTTAACTGTTCTGATTTTGTCAGTACCGTGTCGTTGACCTTAAAGTCGTTTTATTTCAAAATTGAATTAATCTGTAAATTAATGTAGGATCGAAATGGCGGTCTTCTTAAATCAGTGTGTAAAAGACGGTATCAAAATACCATATTTGGCTTTTTGCGGTAGGATGTGTAGTACTTACCTTGTGACGTTAAAAAATGCTAAAAATAAATAGTTTGCTGTTTGCTACAACTTTTGTATCAAAATTTCAATTTGACAAATTAGGCATAAAACCACTTTGCTCTTCCATGTATCTGCATAGTGCTTAGCACTAGTGTTTAGTTAAATGCTCAATGCAAGTCACAGCCTCAAGGTCTGCTTTCCGGCTACTTTAGTTACATGCTCAAACCTGGTGTGTTAATTTGCTTGTTTTTATAGTCGTAATCCAATGTGGTGTTCTTACGCCACCACAGTAATCACAGACTGAAAGTTCACGGTCAGTTAATTCCATATGTCGATATCGAATTTTTTTAAACGCACAATATTTTTTTACTACAAGCTTGTTAAATAGAAAAAAAAATCACGATGAATTTCATGACCTGCTTTTAAATTTTTAAAAAAATTGATTGAGTTAATCAACTGCGCCTCTCTTTTTCTCGATTTAGTTCTCCTTCATGCCGTGATTCGTCGAAAATGTGGACGGTTCCGGAAGAGGTGTATCTTTCTACTGATGAAATGTATGTGTGAATATGATGCTTACTAAATTTAAGAGTTATTGTATCATGCGATATATTTCAAGCAACTCAGCGCACTTATCTTAGTATGAATGCTACAACGTGCTGGAGTAATGGAAATGATCATGTCGATTTGGACACAGTAAGTTTAGTACTAGTCTTATCACATTTTAGTTTGGTGGTTATCGAATCACATACGTTTTAAAAAACCGAAAAAGATTTCGTAAGTTTATGCAGCTATATGACTTTTTTCCCTTAAGAAATTGCATATTCAGAAAGTTTTGCTGAAATCACTGCATTGCTGCAGGAAATCGAGGCAGAAGTTGTTCCCAGTTTGTCAAAGCTCTCACCCTCCGAAGTACCATTGTACCTATTTACCGTTTTTAAAAACAAAGCGGCTTCACAATTCATGCCACGTAAAATTTCATTCTGTCACGTCAAATACTCTACTGTAGAATGCAATACCTCCGAATTTACCGACTTTCTAAGTTCTTTCAATTTCGCCTCCTCCGAAAGGTTAATAAGCCGTAAGTAAAATGCTATACCAAGTATATCCACATTCCTTTCTCCCAGACTGCTCAGGATCCTATCTAAAAGGAAAAATTCCAGTTCGCGGAACTTTATTTCTCAGTATTAATTATGTATCGTTTCTTCCATCTCTCTTCAACAAAGGAACCAAATTTTCGGTCCCCTGGATTAAAATTACCGTAAGTTTGTGAAATTCGGATTCGATAGAATGCTATTTAGGTGGTTGAAAGGAAGTTGACTGCTGCACTGGGCGGATACATTCTTCTGCGTGCGCATAACCATGAAGTAAGCTCCAACGTAGCATTTGATTAAACTGGGTTTCGCTATTTGCAAGTAACTTTTTGTCACAAAATTCATCTTAGCACGGGTAAAGTAACATTTCTGTTTTAACACCGCTTTTCATTACTCCAATCTTGAGCAAATTATTGATGTAAACATTGATGCATTAACTTTAAGTTGCCATTATCAATGTCAAGGTATTGTTAAGGTACTGGGATCCGTCCTTTTTCCGATTCCTCCTTGATCTAGGCCTTCGTAGTTTTTTTTTAAAAAAATAAATCGACATATTAGGAACCAGGGCGTAGAATGCGCTTGGTTCAAAAGCCAAACTTGTTGCACATTTCATTTTCAATTTCAGTATCGATTCACTGTGGCATCAAGGGTAGACGAAACCTTTTTTATTATCCAACGGCTGGCAGATCTCGGTGCAAGGCGGTGAGCAAACGCAACCAAACTTGAGTTTATGCGCGGGTTTTAGATTAATTGTCCTTTATGTAGGTTACTGAATAATGATGCCTACTCGGCCACGACACACGATCCTATTCGTATTTCAAGGTCAGTTCTCCCTTTGATTGCTTTCTTTTGCAATTTTGTCTTGTTAGTTTGTTTATGGTGTTTTAAGCGCTAAAGTAGCAGACCGTGGTTGATTTGCTTAGTAAAGAGTTGTGCCTCTGTCGTCTCCGGTCTGCTTTGTACCCATCTGGGTATCCGTGAGGTGCAAACTGGCCACTTGCACACGGTGGCATCGAGCTGACTCGACAACACTTGCTGGAGCCTTCGACAACTTCCTAGAAGCCCGTATATTGACCACTTGCAGCGTTCGCAACATCGACACGGAGCCACGAGATGTGGCCTGTGATTGGTGGTCTTCACCTGGTTGATGGTATTTTGCGGTTATATGGTGGTAGTGCTTTTGATTCAGTGAAGGCTGAAATATGTTGGAGCAGTGTGTCGGGTGAAAGCCCTCGACTAGTCACGATGACACTGGTTACCTTTCACACCCTGGAGACCATAGGTGACAAGTTGGTCACGTTGAGTTCGTTGTCTAGTAACTACGTGTTGAATGATGCCACAGGGAATCACAGCAACCATGCGGTCTGTACATAAGAACAAGGGGTTCGTTGTGCTGTGCACTCATCACAATCCCGGTTACCGGGGCTCGGTCACAAACACTAACCTCTCTCATCAGGGTCTATCTAAGTACGTTGCAATATATTTTTACCATGTTACAGTCACCATTTGTTAATATTTTAAATTTAAACGTTTCCTCAAATGGATACTCTCAGCATTCTCCTAAACGATCTTGTGTGTTTTCGGTTGTGCTTGAATCCATCCTCAAATCGAGAGTGTTGCAAGGTTTTGGCACTATCTAGTCCTTGAAATCTTTTGGAAGGAAAATTTTCGTTTTATTATCATTGCTCATGTCGCTGAACCTTACAGTGTCGTGCTTCTCGAATTTACGAAGACGCTCGATAACTACTTAGCTCTAAAGGCAGTTGCGTAGCTGCAGAAGAACTGTTGGAAAATCGAAAATGAGTATTTGGAAGTCCCATTTGCGTGACCAGCCGTTACCTTAGTTTAATCACTCAGGAATCGAAGCTTAATCCTGTGGTTTCTTTCCCAGTGTTTAGAACATGGTAGATGTCTGTTTCGCTGTCGATTATTATGTGACTACGAGAACTATCTGTTTTGCTTTAAATAGAATTAAGTCGACATCATGTCAAGTTGTAAATCCTTATGCAATTTTCGCAGTTGTGATGCCAAGCGTCTTCTGACTTTACGTGGCTACTACCTTACATAATTCCACCTCCAACCATTAACGATACCAACAACTGAAACGGTTGCAAAAAAGCCACAAAGCAGAATTCTCATCACCATGGCGGTTGCGAAAATTGATGCGGGCTTATAAGGCTCCGATCTATTTACTTACGTGGGTACCTCGCGAATCAACTTTGTGTTTGCTCTCTCTCTGTCACGTCTGTTTATGAATTTGTCTCGACTGCGGGTCACGTGGACACACATACATCGCACAGACTCGATTGTCCGCTCTTGAGGCTGCCTGCGTGTGAACAGGACTTCCGTAGTTTGCACACGCTTTTATTACTACTGATTTCAAACAAGTACCAATTATTTTCGTAGTAAGGAGCCGCTCTCCTCCGCTCGCCATCTTCGCTCCCAACTTGAGTCGTATTCACGAAGCGAGACATACCGCAAGCAATTTCACCTACCCACAACAGAAAGCCTCGAGTTTGAGGCCCCCTGCTACCTCTGCACCCCCTTCGACAAAGGCGAGCGTCCTGGGCGAATTTATCTGTCGGAAAATTTTATCTGTTTCCGAAACCAGGTTAGTCTAGGTCTTTCTTTTTATTCCATAAATCCTGCCAGTGTCCACCGGAAATTAGGTAAAGCAACCCATGACATTAAGTAGGCCAGCTTGTTTTAAATCGGCTCTTCGTCCAACCTATTTTCAATAAATCTACTTCCTTTATCTGTTAACCGGTGTAGTTCGCAAAATTGAAGGATTCGCTATTCCAATGTTCCGCCTTTATACGTCAGAGAAATGGTCTTTGTTACTTTCTTATGTTTACGCGTCATCTTTGTAACCAATCAAAATGCGCTCCTTGACGAATCTCGGAGTAATTCCGCTTAAACCCGTATTTTCTTGTGTAGGCGAGGTCGGTGTTAGTGACGTACTGGTGTTAAACAGGCAAGAATTTAGTTACCTATGTGCCGACTTGAGCAACTACTATGGATTCCATAAGGGGCATTGTTGTGCTATCTTCTCTAGGCCTGTTTTAACACTCACCGAACGGGGAGCATATGTTTTGTCCAAAAATTGGACCGCACAGAACCAAAAAAAGTGTCCGCGTCCTTCTGTACACTTTTTTTAAATTTCCCTTTTTCAAGCCACCGCTTCTTCCCCCTCCCCGTGTCACAGCTGACCTCAGTAGACATTAGGCCTTTCATGACTTCGCCATGTCCTTGGACGTGCGTGTTTTTGGGCTCCGCACTAATTGTCTGTCTGCCTTCCTCCCAGGGCGGCGCCTACATCTCGCTTGTGGTCCCTCTTAGCGAGGTCCTCATTGTCGACAGTCACGCGTTGAAGGCAAATCCGAAACACACGGAACTCGTGCTCTCTACCAAAGATGTACGTCTTTTCAATGGATTTGCATGCGTATATTTCACTACTGTGTCCTAGATTGTAAGGCCTCAATCAGGTGTAAGGGTTTGACTCTCAATTAATTAAGAGTCGTTATTTGTACCATACTGGGCTAGCTCAATGTTACGTTGCCCGTAACAGGAGAGAACACGTGCTCAGATAACGGTACCAGATCCCTTGTTGACGCTTGAACCGACCTTCCTACGCCAATGCAAGAACAAAACCATAGCTCGTATAGAGAGCCTTAATCAAATGAGCCACGTGCGAGTGAACACCAATTCAAGCCAAGGTTGACCTTGACCTGATAAAAAGCGTAGTAAAACACATGTTAGGGAATTGGTGTAAATAATGACACAAATCTGCGATGAGCAGCCTTGGAGAATTCCTGGATCCCCAACATTCAAATTACGTAGGGAGTCGACAACTCAGCGATTTTGCTGGCAGTGTTGCCTTCTGCGATGCAGTTCTCTTTTTGCATAATACGTTCTCTTACTTTAGGCAGTGTTTATGTTCACCAAGATGGACTCTGGCGAGGCTCTTATTGACAGGCTGAATTGCATTGTGCACGGCTCGTCTGCGGCTTCCACCAAGTAAGGCACCGACCAGATGAATGCGCTTTTCTGATCAAATTCATCACCTTGTTCGTACCTGGTTTAGCCTCCATGCGGTTGTGGTGGTGTGGTGTTTACACATGTCTAATGCCAGTGCAGTTGTTGACCAAAGCCATCGCTGTTTACTCAAGAGTCTGCTGTTGTGTGCGTCAGGTGTGCCTATGATAGTTTATGCATGGATTTTACAAGATTTCACCTCCAAAACCTCGATAACGGTCTGATTATTTTCCTTCTGAAAGTGACACCGATGCTGTACTAGTCGCCGAAGACGCCTTATGGAGTATTAATGAAGCCGCACGACCACCAACAGTCGGCCTTGAGAGTGAAACCGCGGATGTTGAGAGAACCGCGAAGCAACCAGAACAGCAGGCCCCGCCACCAACAAAGAGCGGTACGTGGACTGGTCCTGTGTTGTCGCGCTGCCGTCTGCCCTTTTGCGTCAGCGTTAGACCCTCCTCAGAGCTTCGTGACCCCCATTCCTTGCATTACGCTTTTCTTTCTCCATTCGCAGGAATTGGTAGTCCCCGGGCTGGCATTGTTGAACCCGAACAAACGTCTGGCCAAGCCGACGTAGCTCCGAGTGAGTTGTGTTCGCTAAAGCGCACACTTTCGGCAAAAGATGCGGTTATCCTAAAAAGCGCAGTTTGAGAGCAGAGTTGCGAGATTTGTGGCTGTCCACAAGCTTTCAATCCGGGTAGTGTAGGACTTAGTGTTCTGCAGTCGTGCTACGACAGTCAATTGACTTTTATCAGCTGAAGCAGTCCCACTGGAAGAACCATGGCAACCGCTTGACGATGTCATTACCCCGGCTACTTGATGTAATGCGATATGACTGTGATGTTACATCTTGTGGTTTGTCTCACGTACTTCTGCAGGTGCACGACAAGCCTGTCTTGCATGATTGGCCGTTTAAATTGAGCCTTCGCGTTGGTGTAATTGTAAATCCAGTTTGCTATTTCAAAGGTGCCATTAACTGCTTCTCATTTTTAACCCCATCAATGCTTTGCCCACTTTTTCCATATCGATTTCGTTTTTTCCGAATAATGTGCGTTACTACTAACACTTTCTAGGTAGTGAGTATTCCGGCAAATTTATCGATCGTTTCCCTCTCGACTCGCTCGACAACGCTGCGGTGAGTCAAGCTGAGGCGAAACGCATGTTTCAGTGGGCAAATTACCTTTCGACGTATGGCGCTGGAAGGACCATGTACGTTGTGGATCAAGTAGAAGAGCTCGTGCTCAAGGGCCTACCTCAGCAACTACGAGGAAGGCTGTGGATGCTCCTGAGCGGCGCTGAAAACGATGTAAAATACTACTATTTACTTGCTGGCTATTGTAGTCTCTTTTATCTAACCTGCTTCCACCAAACCGGTAGTGCCTTAGCTGTTGGTTATTGCTTTGCCGTTATAGTCTCTACGTAGCCTTGTTAATTTTCCAAAATTTCACTACCCCTCCCTCAAAAACAAATTTTCATATAGTCTCTCAAAATTGTCCGTAAACCAAAAGAGGAAATGTAATAATCGCCTTTGGCCAATCAATTTACTTGCCTACATACCAAAGCTAACAGCATGTTTAAAAATGTCACCTGTGCATACACTTGGTCCTGCGTTTCGTTTCGGCTTGCCAGCAAATAACAAATTTAACTCCCTAGTTAATGTTGACCTGTCAGAGACATGTGGGTTGTCTTATCTTCGAAATGTTGGCATTAATTTTTGCTGTCGTTTGCGTTGTTTTTTTGTGCTCGTTCCAACGAAGCTTCGCAGTCTCAGCCCATTCTAGTCATCCTTATATGCACAACTCCATCAATCGGAGTACTAATTTGGCGTCTTGTTCCTTTCACGGCTGATTGCGCGTGTTGATCTGGCAGCTGATTGGGATTTACGCGCTCCCGTCCTATTTCACTTCAGCATTCAGCAAGAAAAACTGCGCAATTTTTAGATTGCTTTTTGCATCCACGGGTGTTTTTGCCAGTCGCCCACACCAATTCGGCAACGCCTTGGGCTTATTTACCTCGCATAACAAGCAGGCGATTCATGCGGAGAGCTCTAAACGCCACTTGTGTTGTTGTTTGTCGGCTGCTCTAGCTGTGGGTGTGGCAGCGTGCGCCTCCAGTGCTGACAACACCACCTTCGTGTGTTTGCGTTGCCATTGGGCTCACTGCATTTATGGAGAATGAGCAAATTTTCGCCTTGTCATTGCTCTTTTCCCAACTACCTCTCCTCCCCTTCGTCGCGCAAGGTGATTCTACGCCCTTTTGACATCGCCACAGCTTTTGAGTGCAGTAGCACCAGACCAGACGAAAAGAAACCGCCCACTTCGTCCAAGCTGACAGCCCTGTTGCAAAGTGGGCTTTTCGCTGGTGGTCGAAGTTAGTCAAAATGCCACGAAACTCTGCATGGCGCATGAATACATCGAGTAACATGCCCTGGATGCGCTCTGGGGTTTCGGCTCTGGGAGACGAGGATTTTGTTGAGGCCCTTTACCACACGGAGTAGCCCAAGGAAGAAAATAAGCTAGCTCAACCAAGTTGTGTTTTGATGATGAATACAGCTGTGTGCTAGTAAAAATATAGGCGTCTGAATGGTCACATGGATAGAGCGGGTGGTGGTGGTACATACAACAGGGGGGTGAATGAGCAGGCGGTCCCAGTGCTTGACGGGCGCGCCGTGAAAAGGCGGGAAGTGTGTTGGAGACTGTGACGACCGGGTCGTTGGACGTGAATCAACTCAAATAACTACAATTTCATCTCCAACGCAGGTAGCCGTGTGTAAATCAATTGGCAACAGTGCTAAAGCTATCTCCAAGAGGAATTATAGGAAAGCTTATGAAATCATAAAAAAAGTGTGAATCAACTAGTAAGACTCTACGCGCTTGTGGCTTAGTGTGTGATTTTGACCCAACAAATACCTTTTTTTTTATTATGGTGGTATATTTGTTGGAGCCGAATGAAACTTAACGAATCTGAGTTGCGCGCGCATTTCTTTGTTTGAAATTTCGCCAATATCACATCTCCCTGTGCCATTCGCAGTGGCTCTAATGAAATCTCCGCATTTGTGCCTTTCTAATATTTGAGCACATTCACCCGCTTAAACTGGCCTTGTTTTGTCATCGGGAATACAGCGTGTTGTTTCACTGTGATTGGTAACACGACCAACGCTACTCGGCTATTCCAATGACCTACGGCTCAATTTGCAGATCTGTGAACCGGGTTCGGTTCATTGCCCATGTTTAGCTCCTGCTTCTGTGTATTTCATGTAAATACATATTCCTGCACCCTCAAAACACCAAACCATGGCAACCTCTTGTCGGGCAAGATAGTCTCTGCTGTCTCCTAAGTGACATTCAACCATAAAAATGAAACGGATTTTTGCAACTTGTCATTCCAAATGGTCAAGTCGCATGTTGCCTTCTGCTGCCCTTGTAGAGTTCATTTGGTCCCTGGATCTATGTCGTTGTGTTTCCTTTCCCACTACTAAACCAGCACGTCGTGCCAACGTCCACTTACCCTTTAGTGTTAGTAATTGCCTCTGCCGTCGTCACTGTTTTAATTGCTGCTCAGGGACCTTTTTGCCTCCTTGAAGCTGGCCATCTTTTTTTGATCATATGAGTTAATCATGCTGCCAGGTATTGTTAGTAATTTTATCTAAATTTCGTAAATGTAAGTAATTTATCCCAATAATTGGCGTATATTGCCGATTCGTGTTGTTCTTTTTCGTTTTTTTAAATAAAATATCCATTTCTGATAAATGACCTTCGGTTTTTTTCGCATCTATCACGCGGGCTGTTGTCTCTCACAAGGCACAAGTTTCCAGTTATCAAACGGGTTTTTTCCTGATATTCACTGACAGAAAATTTGTGGGTCAAATGCTGCTTTTCACGACAGACAATTTAGCTCTTAATTTTAATGGTTATGCGCAGAAGTGTGCTGTAGTTTTCTTTGCATTTAACTTGCATCGCCTTCTTAATAATTTTTGTACGTATTAGGCTTTGCTTAAATTTTTAGTTCTTCCAATATCACTGCAATTTCCCTTCCTGGTATACGTGAAAATTCCCCCGGTAAAATTGTAATTTTTAGTGGATCTTGTCTTATTGTTTGTGTACTTTTAAAGTGCATTCAAAATATCCTTGAAAACTGGGCATCGTAAACTTGGTTGAATAGTGGAACGCCATGTTGGGTGCTGCAACATAAGGCATTGGTGCTGCGAAATTAGTGGAGATGCATCGGCAGAGGTGGTAAACCGCTGCGCCTCCCTGTGTGACGTTGAAAGCGCCTTATCTGCCCCACATTCCTTTTTGGCTTACCTGCCTTAGATTCTTAAATAATGACGATTTGTTCGAAATAGCCCCACCGGGCCATTTTCTCACCAGGAAGCCAGTGTCGTTTCATCCGGAAAACTGGTGACCAAATATGTGCGTGATCAAATCGTTAATCATCAACGTTTGCCTTCATTTAGTGGGCATATTGAAAATTCGACTTCTTTTCAAACCATGTATGTCCTAAAATGTAATTAAATCAGCGCTATCTCCTTCCTCGACACATTTCTGGGGGATCTGGTACATTCTCAATACATTCTCTGGTATAACTGATTCTTGAGTCACACTTTTGGCGAGGAGTGCCCACTTTTGTTGTGGAAATGCTTCGTGAACCGTAAGATTCGTTGAGATGGAATTTTCGTGTTAATTGCCTCCATGGAGATTAGCTTTTATGGGATCATAAGTTACTTATTCACCTTACCCCTCACTTAGATGCGCTTGAATCCGGGTTGCTACGAGGATTTGGTTCGACAGACCTCAGGCCGCAGCAACTCCGTGCTCATTGAGATCGAGCGGGACCTGCACCGCTCCCTGCCCGAACACCCAGCCTACCACACGCCCGAGGGAATCGCTGCCCTGCGTCGTGTCCTCACGGCTTATGCCTTCAGGAATCCCAACGTCGGTTAGTCCGCTTCCTTCCAATGCTTCCTACTCCTCTGCCTTTACCCTACTTCCTCTTTAAGTGCAGTCGGGTCTAAATTCACTCCCTGTCATTTAGGGGATAGTTCGGTGAATTAACACAGGTGCTCTTGATTGCGAATTGCATTTGAAATTACCGATGCAGCTGTTTCTTTCCTCTGTCACTCTAAGATTCGCTTTGGAAAAATTAGTTGGCAGATGCAGTTTGGACCGTTGGTAAAATGGCAGATGTCCATTTCGTATGATTTTGATCGTTAACATTTCTCCGTAATTGGTGTGGATGCCGATTTGACAACACTGGTCACTTTAACAAGTAGTGAATGTACTGATGATTCCGTCACATTCGTCCAAGCCCTTGCAAGCGGATTACTCATGTTTGAGCAGAATTTAATTGGTGGATGGGCGGCATCCCGGTGAATAATCCTCACTACTACTCCGTTTCCAACTATTCTTCGACAATTCATAGACCGTCATTGCCATACGCAACAAGTATTCATGTAAGGGACATTGTCCAACCTTTTAATTTTCTGTGTCCTGTTGCTGATAAATGTGGCATTATTTGATAACTGTAGCGTAGATATCGTGTCGTAATGCCAAGATGACCTTGTTTGACGGTCAGACAATGATTTGGCTGTATATTAAACAACCTTAATCTCAACCAGATCATCATCTTTTTTTACGGCCTTGTATCTCCTTCCGTAACTGTGCCATAGTAAATTTACCACAAGCATAACACTGGATCCCATTGTTCGTATTGGCTCTACGCCTCACTCTTCCCCACCGTAGTCCACGAAATGCTACGAGAAATACCAGCTGCAAATTTCCACCTGAGGTGCTTGTGGGAGCGAAATCAATACGTTTGATAGTTTAGAGTTAGCTGGCCACGTGTAAAAGTGGTATTTTGACTTTAGAATAGAACTTTACCTTGCCAGGCTAATTAAAGGCTCCAGATCAAACGCGGCTGTTGAGAAGGAGCCGTTGTACGGAGGTGCAGAGGTGTGAAATCAAGCTCATGACGGTGGCGAATCAGCAAGGTGATCCGATTCCTGCTCTTCGTAGACCACCTTACTGAGTGACATTCCGAGAGGCAATCCAATGCCATATTCACACGGATTTAATAAAGCAGTGTTAAACATCAGATCAGAGCTTGGTGGTTTCACATCCACCCCTCCTCCTAGACAATGAGAAAATGGAAAAGGCGCCAGGTGATGCCTTTAGATAATCTAATGGCGTTCAGTGGGGAGTTGGCGGTGGAGGTGGGAGGTGGGAGGTCCCTTAATTCCCATAGCACAAACCCTGAGGCCCAGGTCTAATGTGTGTGTTTGTGTGCGCGCCTTTTAATTGGGGTTAAAAACGCCTGCATTAGACTAATGGGAAGAAAGGGAAAAATTAAAGCGAACAATAATCATGACTGGTGATAAAGGGACATTAATTTTTAATTAGCGCTGCGCCGTTCTTTCAATTCGCTAGTAAACTTTAATTGTTGCCTCCTGAAATAATCGGTTTAATGCCACACACAAAAATCTGGCATTTTGGGAATCGCGTTGGTTCACACTAGCTAATCCGATCACTCCAGCCTCCAACACAGGGTTCCCTTTTCGCAGCATGTCGCTAGCCGCGCGGACCCCCAACTCCCTCCTCATTTGCACGAACATTTATCTTAGATTATCCTAACACGTAGGTCTCGGTGTTGGCTCATGTATGACGCACACATCTGAGGTATAAATACACACGCGCGAACACCACGCACGACACAACGGCATCAATTTGATCGAGGTCTGAAGTAAACGGTTGTGTCCACGTCCTCTCCAGTCTTCTCCCTCATCGTGGGTATTATGGAAGCGTAATCGGGTCAAGATCCAACTCAGTTACACCCCGGCGTGGTTCAAGACTATGTTGTAGGCCCTAGCATGTGGTCTTGCACCACGCCGGGGCCACGGAATTAACTCTGGCCCGATTACGCTTCCCTGATACTCGCGATGAGAGGACGTGGACACAACCGTGTACTTCAGAGCTCAACCACGTTGGTGTCGTGTGTGGGGTTTGCGCGTGTGTATTTATGCCTCCGATGCGTGAGTCATACATGCGATAACCCTGAGACCTAGGTGTGCGGATACTCCAAAATAAATATTCGTGCTAATGAAGAGGGAATTGAGGCTTCGTGCGGCTGGCGACATGCTGCGAAAAGGGGAACCCTGTGTCGGAGGTGAAGCGACCGGATTAAGGGTGTGAATAAACACGACTCACAACAACTACATTCTGGGCCCACAACAATTGGTGACCCCGATGTGATGACAGGTCCTGCAAATTTCACAATAGGCAGTTTGGTGTAGGTACAGTCTGGACTCACGTGCTCTACGACTGCATAGTGAGGTTTATTTGTACAGACGGGCTAAATTGTTAGCTACCAAAGTTCATCAAATCGGAGAAACTCGAGATAAATGTGCAATTGTTGAGGTGCTCATTCATTCGTAACAGATGTTAGCTTCACGCTAGCAACTGATGCTATAAGTACGAAGACGTTTGTACATTTTGGCAATCGTTTTTTTAGCGGGACTGACCAATCAAAAGAAAAAAAAGTGGGGGGAGAACTGACTAGCTCATCGACCTGCTGGTGTTTGTTTGAGCCACGTCACTTGTGTGGCGTGTGGTGAATTCGAGGCAAATGCAGTTTTAAGGACGGATTCGTTGTGTGCGCTGAAGGCTACTGGAATGTGCAGCCCCGTGTGATGTGGGAGATCTGGCGGCCCACGTAATTAGCACTACTTTAGTATTGACGCACCCACCCGTCCTGCCTAGTTTGTTACACTTCGTGATACAGAGTCCTTTAGAGAGTAACATCCGCGCGCAACACAATTGTGTATACTTAAATTGAGTCAGAGGCAGACAACTTAAGCCGACCCACACTCTAACATCAATCATGCAGGTAGGCTGACGGTGGATAGCGTCGGCAAAGTAACATTAAATTAAAGCCACCAGATAGGAGGGCGGGGGCAGGAATGCGGCTCCGTCTCCTCCCTCTCGCTTTTGTATCAAAAGTGGAATGTGTAGTTTATGATATCGTGTCGGGCTGAGGGGGAAGTAGGGTGAAGTACCTGGATGGGGGGATGCACAGGCGTGTTAATAAAAGCGTCAAACCAGCTATTAATCCACTAAACGAACCTGCTATTAGGTGAGCTCAGGTTAAATTACAGGTGTGAGAGAGTGCGCGTGGGGGTAGAATTTAAAATACCGAGAAATTCACAGGAAGCCATAAGCTCAGAGTTGAGGTAATAAGGGTATCACGATGTAGAATTTCCGGCTTCTGGGGCCAATCTAGATGAAATCTTCATCCCCGCTTTACTACTACACTGACCAAGAACTATCAGCAGTGGCGATCTCTAGCGAACACCCCCCAGGAGGTAGGCGAATGCACTGGGTACCATGCTGCGGTAACTTTAGTGAGGCACACATGTGAAGCAAAAGTCCACAGTTGCACGGAGTTAAGGCGCGTAGCTGCTACCTTTAATGTTTGATTGTTGCTAATGCAGAGACGAAAAGACGGATGATGTAGTGTTCGCGCACAAATTGCAACTCAATTTTCTTTTTTGCATGGGCCGTGTCATTCAAGTACTTGCGTAGTGTAGTTGGGACTCTAGAACGTGTCTTAGTCTCCCCAAAACGTTCCACGAGGCGTCTTGTCCAGTGTAAATAACCCCGGTTCCTTTGCATACTCTTGTGAAATCACTGAAAGGGGTACTTCAGGACGTAGATGGATCAGGTCCACAACACACGTACCTTAATCACGTCAAACAGGCCTTGCAGGTTGTTGACGTGGCTGAAACTGTCTGCTATGTCGGCAAATCGTCCCCTTCCAACGAGGCATCTTCACAGTACCACCTCTTCCAATTCCCCACACTTTGAGCGTGCTAGGGTTGTTGTTGACGCCAATATTTGATCCCTCTAAACAAGGGATAAGACAACTCGGGGTGATTTCGGTGCATTCTGAAGTGTCGTTTCCGTTTCTTCTTGTCTTTGGCTCTGTCGTTTCTCGATTAACTTGGGAATCTTAATTGACTTACTATTTGTGTAAATTTGATTGCTCTTTGTGATTCGGCTGCACTGTGTTGGCCGTGTTTCTTATCGTGGTTCTTGAATTCGCCTTACTGTATACATTTGCGCGAATACTAAGTTTTTTTATCGGGAGTTGATCATCTTGTGACATATAGTGATCCATGACACCAAGTAAATGTGGAACACTACTCACTACCTTCCTTTCCCTTGTCGAGATTAGAAGCACTATGATGCAACAAAGTTGATAAATAACATCGTCCTCACACAACCGAACCACGTTCTGTCTAGCTACCTATGCGGGCTGCAGATTCTCAGTCTTGCTGAGTAGCATAGTTAATTCCCACTACCATGGGATTTTGACCGCGTGCTTTGCCGTCTTAAGGCTACTGCCAAGCGATGAACATTGTAACCGGTGCCCTGCTGCTCTACTGCTCGGAGGAGGAGGCCTTCTGGCTGTTGGCCGCCGTCTGCGAGCGCCTCCTTCCAGACTACTACGACAGCCAGGTGGTGGGGGTGCGCGTGGACCAGGTGGTGCTGTGTGAACTCGTTTCTCAACACCTCCCCAGCATTTTCAACCGACACTCGCCATCAAATGGAAGAGAAGGCGCCCACGACGCCGCCTCCCTCCTAGTCTCGTTTTTTAAAAGATCTGGTGGAAAGGCGGTCGATCGGTCAAGCGATACTGGTGTGGAGCTGGTCAATCTTGTCATCCTATCCTGGTTCCTGACGTTATTTCTCAAGTTAGTTTGGACTCCTTTGTTGGTGGCGCGAACCGCAATCATATTTTTTTATAATTACACGTTTTTAAAGTTGAACAGAAGGTCCAAAAGTGAGGTGATTTGCTTTCTATCTCAACCGTAACGTTTCTTATCCTATCAAAATCCCACCTCGGCATCAGTTGTGTAGATCCCGATGCTTGTTTTTGCGACGCAATATGTCCGAATGAGTTCTCACAACTGAGCTTCATGCTCCAGTTCTATCCCCATGCCAACACAACCCTTCACACATTTATCTCATTGTGAGTTGTCCTAGCCACGATGAGTCCCTAACGAGTTCTAACGTCAGTTCGTTCATATGAACGTTGCTGGCGAATTTAACGCGGAATTTAACACAATTCACGATTTTGCGTGATCCCATGATCAAGACCAAGTCGTCCAGTTACGCGTTGACGTAGTCAGCGCTTGAAGCAGGGTCAATTTCTTCGACAAGACCCTTCACGTTTGGCAATCCCAGGCGTTGTAATTGCCCCGCATACCGAGGGTGTTGATGGCATCAATGCAGCCTCTAGCAGAACCAACACATTCACGGTCTTTCTGTTTTTTTTCATAATTTAGTTGCTCAGCAATTACTCATCTCAGCAATCGCCTTGTAGAAAGACCCATCTGTTCAACATTTAAAACAGTAAGAATTAAAAAAAACTGCCAAAATCCAGCACCGAGGCAAACACTGCATGCGGGTAGCCTGGGGCCTTTGCCCTGCGGCCACTGCTACCGGTTGTAATTATTATCCTTCATCTGCACTACTTAAGTGGCTTTTTCTCCTGCCAGCAATTAGTAATTTGTATCAATTAGCGCCCAATGCCATGTTGTCCTTGCTTGCTTGCCTCACCAAGTAGTGATTTTTGTATGTTGCGCAGTTGTATCGAACTACCGCAAGTGTTGTCGTTCGTCAAGTTGCCAAGTTGTTAAAAATAGGTATTAATTTTCGTTTCAAATTTTACCGTAAGTGTGTTTCTCTGTTCTCTCATGCTCAATAAATTTAAAATGTCATAATCGGTAGCCCATTGCAGACCTAAAAACAAGCGATTGACTTTTACTTGTTGGTTAGTTGTAATTGCCTCAAACGGGTTGGCAAGTTCCACGAGTAGCTTTCTGGCGGCGAACTGGTACAATTGCAACACCACAATTCAGTCACGGTGGCGTAGTAGCGCCACTGAAAGACGTCCAGTTAACGGTTTGCTGATGCGCTATTTTTGTTGCAGTACGATGCCTTTCCGCTGCGCAGTCTTCATCATCGACTACTTCTTCTTTGGGGGTGCCAAGGTGAGTGGGCTTGCTTTGCTCCCCGGTTTACCTCTTTAGATGTCCTATTGGCTTGTTAGGTAACTGGCATCCCGCCGACTGCCTGCTAACAAATAGGCGTTTTTAGGCTATAACCCACTGGTTCCGCGTACTGACCATTCTGTGATAAATCTGCGGTCTGGTGCTTGACTTTTAAACTGCACAAGGGAGGCGGCTTTGATCCAGGCTGCAATTGTACTCGTCAATTAAAAAACTACTGAATGTCATTAGCGTCCTGGCAACGAGGATGCCTATATGTCGGAACTTTAATCGACTTCATCTACTTTTAGATTTTTAAGTAGGATTGTGGGGGATTTGGGTGTTCACATCATTTGGTGGATTAGGTGATCTGTTCCACGGTGTAACAGGCGGCATGAAGCGAGTAATTTCACTCTTACATTTCCGCTTAACTTTGTCATTGAATTTCGATATTCCTATTTATATCCATCGCTTGTGTGATTCTGCGGTTCCTCGTTTGCTGTCGTACAGTCACCTTTGCGTTAAGCAGACCGGGGTACTGCACATTTCGAATTTTTCTTTTCCTGCAAATAAAACTTCGTCCTCAAGTAAGCAGCTGACATCTTCTAGATATTCTTACTGACAGACTGGTACATTTTAGCCCTTGGGCAAGATAACGCTTGCCTATTGGTTTTAGTCTTTTGGAGAAAAAATAATTATTGCAAATTATCGTCGTTGTGTGTTTTTTGCTGCCCAATGCGGCTTCTGCTGCCTTTGATGATGGAGTTTTCTGTATGTGGCCGAATGGGCTTTTTTCTCATTGTCCCATATGGCAGCGGGGATGGGATTGCGGAGGGTAGGGGGTGGGGTGGGGTGGGATACTGCCTGCAGCTGTCTGTCACCACCGCACCATATGTGTACACAAACCCACCTCCTATTCTGCCTATTTATCACAAACTCCCAAAATCCGTGGGAGGGGGGCGCGATTTCGTTCGTTTTCCGCAAAAATAAGGCTTGACGACTTAGGTTTTCTTCTTGTCACTTCCCACACACAACCGAGTTAACTTCATCGTGGCTCTAGCTGGAATCCGTGTAGTGTATTCTAAACCAGAATGTGGTAATGAAGCTTATCCTAATTTATCTCCGCTCCGTTCTGATGGCACGATTCCACCACTAACACAGGTCAAACTGGCAATTTGAAGATTATAGGCGCAGACCACCAGCACCGCCATGCTTGTGCATGGGGCGACGAGCCGTGATTTTCTTCATTCTGGTTTAGGTTGTTTTTTTTTTCAATTTCTTGACGCATTCGCAGAGTAAAATCGTCGCAGATTTCTCGGACACTGTTGTCTGATGTACGGCAGATGCACTCACTGTTTGGCACTAATCATCGTCTTCAACCAAAACTTTCTAATTGTTAGGTGATTTTTCAAATCGCCCTCGAACTTCTACGCCTGCACTTGCCAAAATTCGAAGCGGCTCGTGCGCGCGAAGAAGTCAGCGAAACGCTGATCCAGTTGTCTCGTTTCTTCAACCGTCTCGTGGCAGAAATCGACGCTTCTGCTTGCTCCCCCTCCAAACCCCAGACAACCCTGCGCCCGATCCCAGTGGATGAACCGACGCTGTCCAAAATATCCGTGGAACAACTCCTGAGGTCGGCGAAGGCCAATTTCGGCGCGGTGGTGTCCAATGCGCGAATTGAAATGCTGCGAATTGCATGCCGACTGCGCGTGATACATGCGCTGTCCGTCAGCTGCGTTCAAGAGGCCATCCGGACGCTGCAGCCTCAACTAAACGCCAATTTGGAGGACCTGGCGGCAGTGTGCTTCTCCTATAAGGTATGATTGCATAATATCACTTATTTTAAAATAATATGGATGTTTAATTTCAGCCAATTAGAGTCCATTGTCTAGCTTTTATTGATTTTTTTTATTTTTTCAAGTGATCCCAGGACCAAAGCATTTGTCCAATTGCTCACTTTAGAGGTAATACTGCACCTCTTTAAGGCGGATCGTATGCCTGAGGATTTTGTAGTTGGTGTTAAAAGCGTTGGAAGCTAATCATGAGATCGCAGCGTCCAAGTTACCCTGGAAGCCCACTTGCTAGGCGTCAATTCAGTCTTTAGGGGCCATTCAGTCTCGATTGAACTACTTCAATTTGGAACATCGGTCTTCAGATATGGCTGGTCCGATCAAGCTATGCAAACTGTTGAACTACGAGTCTGTGGCCATCAGCGACGGAGGTCGACGGTAGAACGCTAGAATGAGACGATAAAGTTGGGTAGTGGTTTTAGTTAATCAGCAACTGGCACAACCTCCGGAAGTGATGACTGTTAATGTGTGGTTTATGAGACAGTATTTGCCCTGTTCTACGATTATTTCATCTTAATCCGGGCTATTGCAGGCAGGTTCATTACGCCTGAAAGCAATGTAATTGAAAAATGCGCTGCATTGGATATAGAGACCCCATAATGACGTCCTCTCGATAACTCTTTGACCTTTCCATTACAACATGCGTCATAATCCCACCCATACTCGCATCCTCGAACAGTAGCACAAGTATTCATGATGGGATCTAGAGTGTGTGAACCACTTTGCAGTCTGTGTTTTTGCCGTGGCTGTTTGTGCTGATGAAATCATCTTGACCATCACAATTTCCATCGGCACAACTGTAAATGTAACTGCGATGCCGGTTGCCACTGCAAATGCGCCTTTGTCGGTTTCTCAAGGCTGCGTCTCTGCAGCATTTGGGAAATGCAATCCCAGTGTAACCTGAAAGACGAGCCTAATTTTATGCGTGCAGCGCACCAATGCGAGCTGCTCCGCCGGTCCCACTGCTCCAGGCGACCTCGTTGCCTCAATTTACGGCATTTAAGGAAAAACCTTAGGTTAGTGATTCACCCAAGCTTGTTTGTGCGCCTCGTGTCAGTCGAGTCCATTAGCAGCCGCTGCACAAAATATCCTTGCCCGTTTCACTAACGAATTTACCAGTGCCTGTTAAGCTTCCATTTCCACTTGCTACGAAAGTAGCCAATATGGACCGTGATTGTGCTGTTTTTTTTAAAGTCAAAGTTTCCTATTCACGTGTGTATCTGCATTTATTTGCTAAAGTGTGTTGCGTCTAACGAGTGTTTTAGTCGAGGCGGTAGGCGACGAGCTCACGGAAATGAATAGCACTTTTGTGGACACCGAACCATTCTGAGTACAAATTGCTAGAGTTAAGTTCATTTTCTTTTGCCCTTGTGTTGACATTATTCTCAGATTCTTAGTTCAGATTACCCGTGGGTTCGTGCGTGAAATCTGAGTTTGCACTCCTGTTGACCGTAGTCGAGCGTCAGGCTCTAATCATGCAATTCCTTCATCACTTCACGCTGCTTTATGCAGTTGTAGTGTCACTTTATGTCCAATGCTATCCATGGTGGAAGCGACAGTTTGGCTGTGTTTTCGACGACTGCAGTTATGCTAAGCCATGCCGAGTCAGACATACTCTAATGGATTCCGCTCTAATCTCATTGTTCATGTGACGAGTCGCGTACACTTTTTTCTTAAAATCGAACATGCATTGCTCATTTAAGCTGTAAGCTAGTTATGGTAGTGCATCCTAGTCCAAATTCTAATTACTTTTTTAATTCCAAGGCTTCCCATCGTGAAATTGTTTAGGCTAGAGCGAACAATGTGTCTGTTTTTAAATGTCATTTTTATGGAAGACAAACTGCTGCAGTCCCTAGTAAATCTGCTAATTCAGGTGGCAGAGGAGTCTGTGTAAATATGTTTTTCGTCTCAAGTAGGGTTGATATTGAGGGATCCGTTTTTCTATCGATTTTGTCCGTGTGCCCGGAAGTATAGTATTAATTGCAAGTGTATCTCACACAATCACTTGTTTTTATTAGCCTTTCTCTGACTGCGTATTTTGTCCATCCTGCAGTAGTAAGCGGGATGGGTGTTTCATTCATGGTCACGTCTGCCTAGGTAGCAAGGGGAGTTGCCTCATGTCAGACGTTGAGTTCGCAGTTAATGAGTGCTGATTTTAATCGCCTGTCATCCATTCACTTTTCACTTCTCGTCCACTCACATGATTGGCAGCACAATGAGATTGCGCGTGTAATTTCTAATAGTTGTTCTCTTGTCAAGAAAAGTTTATTTCGGGCGAAGACGAGTGTGCACGTGCGGTGATCCCTATTTATGAAACCACTTTGCCATTGCGTTTCTAAAAAAAAATCGCGTATGAAATGTAGTCAAAACTAAATTCTGAACACTAGAAATTACTTCCCTATCGTGTGCGTTCGTTCTCTGTAGGAACACTACATCACGTCGAGGTACTATCAGCCACAGCACGTTCAACCAGCCGCCCAGTACGGTGCTGTGAGCTCCCTCAACCGGCCTTGCTACGACATGCACCGGATTGACGCAGACCAATTTTGCAGTCTCTTCAAGTCCCAATCGTCTTGGGCGCACCTCGCATTGCCACTTTTCCGGCTGCTGGACGCCGATAAGGACAACCTTGTTAACATGCGGGTGAGTGCTTTCGTCCCTCCACACCATGCAAGCACCGCTTTGGCGAAAACCGACTTGTGGTCGGTAACTACACCACGGCCAACAGTCAGCGCCTAGTCTCTTGCCTGCAGGCATGCCTGCTGTTGATCTAATCGATGTCGCGATGGATGTGACTGCAATATCGAGAGTGGCACTGGTTCTGCCCTGGTTAACCCTGACTCATTTTGGAGTTTTGTAAGCCTACAATTGTGTACCCGCCACTGTTGAAATGGAGTTTGTCAAACGTTTTCCCAAGTAATCTTGCAAAATGTACATCACACTTTTCGGGGAGACGTGAGTTGACAATTGAAGCTTGTACTGTATCAGTAATTTCTGATCGGTTTTGTGATCTGGCGGTTGACCTGGTTTTGCTACGAAACCCCACCCCATAAAATTTATCAATCCCCATATTTGCGAATTGGAATTTTTCACAACCATCCAGATTCCTCATAAGCTGGAGTTCTTTTCCACCTTAATGTTCGTAATGGTGACATCAACGTGTTTGGCGGATTGGATTCCAAATTTATTGCTTTTTTTACTGTTCCAACGCCAAGTACTTTGTGAGCGAACCAGGGTCACGCTATTTGGGGATGCAGCGATTCACAAGAATTGATGTCGAACTTGTTGTGCTGCGTTATGTTGTGTTTTTTTTGAAGCCGGGAATACTTTTCGCTCTAGGGATATTTCAAAAGAGTGTAGTGAGGCGTTTGTCTCTGCAGAAAGCGCTAATACTTTGAACAATGCCGAAATCCCTCACCACTGCCACTCCAACCTGTTTAAAGTCATCCAACTCAGTGATTTTATTTTAATTTCTTAAACTTGTTTCAGTGCCGTCGAAGTCTCTTTCACGGTATTTTTGTTTGGTAAATTATGGATTCTGTGTGTTGATATGTAGTTAAAAACACGTAAGCAGTAATGTTGCCACGCGTGTAATTATCAATTCCCTTTCTGTTTGACCAGTTTAATAAATAGGCCAGGGTGTGGTGGAGAAAGTGTCCCTTGCAAAAGACTGTAAGGCGGGGAAGTCGCGTTTTTGTTTTTTTTTTCGATTGGGCCTTCAGGGGTCATTAACGCAGTGGTCCTAGGTTCAATCTGATTACCACCTCTCGTCTTCAAGATCACACTGCCTCTTGCATTGGTTACTAATCGGTAGGATCTTAACACCTGCAGTCGCTACTTGTTGAATATCGTATGCGACTAGCCCCTTGTTGCATAGTTTCCTAAATAAGGCGATGATCTCTCATGTTGGTTTCCGCTACCTCGTGTGTATTTACTCTGGCCGACTTGGTGGTCTTTGCTGTTCAAGCATTCAACTTAACTATACGTTTTGTTCACATACTGTATACCTTAATAAAGCATTCTATAGTAGACAGTATTTAAAGCAAATTCTTGCCTTAAAAAAGAATAATAAAGGTTGGGGAAGAGGCTTTTCTGGCAAGATTCATTGCGACACGCCTCCCCCTCCCTCCCCCCAACCCCATCCACTTCGCCTCGGGTGAGAACGCTGCCATCTGGGCGGATACGGTCGGGCAGGTTATTATAGCGCCTCTGCACCTGTTGTTTACATCTACTTCTCTCACAAAGTCGCGTCTAAATAGTTTTATTCAGCGCTCCGACACGTCGCGTTGTCCCCTGTGATGTCAACTCACTTGGAAGTTTTGGATCAAGGTGTTGCCTTTGTTTTTTTTTTCACTCTTGATCGCATCAGACTTTGGGGTCGGGGCGTTGCACAGGGCCTGGACGAATATTTTGAGTCGTCTCTGTTGCAACTGTTGCATTCCTATCTCTCAGTATCTCCTGAGTTTAAATGGACTCACTTATGTCTTGTTTGGTGATCAAAGCCAAGAAGTCCCTCCGTGGCCCGTAGTCTCTTGGTAATGTGATTTAGTGGTTCGCTAAAATGTTCAGTTTTGTGAAGCTACGTTCATGTTTATCTAATGGCGCTTGATGGATCTGATGCCAAGTGATTGGCCACAGGGACTATCTTCTGAGCTGTTGCTATACCTTTAGGGGAATATTCATTAGGAATCATTTATACCACTTGCAGCACTACTAATTTTCCCCAAAATGCTACTTGATAATAAAATCCATCATTTGACTGTTCTACAATTGTTAAATTTTGACCAGAATCAAGTGTATTCGGTCCCAGTCGTCTTATAGAACGTCACTGTAACCCAAAATCGCTGAGCTGTGGATATTTCTGAGCAGAACTACTTCGGCCTATGAGACAAGAAACACGCCGTTGTAAGTTTATTCTCAATAGCCTAAATTACGGGTTGTTCACCCTTATTTCACGTACCTAGTCGTCTCTCGAACCCTGCAGTACACACCTATCATAAGCAAGTCTAACATCTTCGTCATAAACTAGTCGTAATGATTTCGTACAAAGCGCACTCTCTCTGGGCTTCTCAATAGAAAGTAGTGCTTCCTAGGAATTTATCGACACACGGTTGAAGCTGTTGGTATATTGCCTTCGGTGCTCCTATTTTTATATCTCTTTACATTCAATTTAGGACTATGCTTGGCTCCTGACCCTTATTGCCTCCTCGGATTATCGTAGAAAGCTGCGACTCCTCTTCACCGTGCATTCCCCCGAGTACCTTCGACCGGAGGACCGCAAGGGGTTTTGGGACAGGCGCCCCGCCCCCTCCGACGCCGCTCTCGCATTAGCCTCTGCGCTATCGCGCCCCGGTGACGTGGAATGTGGGCAGGAGTTGACGGAGGAGGTCGCTACAGAGGAGGCTGCGGCGGAGGAAGAGGACGATCCAGAGACCTTGTCAATCGACTCACTCTCGGTACTGGATCTGAATGAGAGCGAGGCCCTGCGTAAGAAGTCCGCAAGCGATCTACCGTTGCAAACTGTCTACGCGGGACCACCCGCTCTAGAAAGCCCACCGCCTCTTTTGAAGCCCAATTTCGTTGATTTATTAAAGGTGAGCGGTTGTTTCTCTCTGGTGTTGTTTCATGCGATTTTGCCTACTGTAATTCCATACGATGGGCTAGCATGATTTGAAACTTGCCGTAACAGTATACATGACCAATCATTTACCTTTCAGAAACACATCCGATAGTTAAAATCTTTTATTTTCACTGTTTTCGGCCACGTAGTTTGTTACTTTTTACTTGACGACACAAAAAACGCCGTCATAACTACCTTCTCATAGTAATCACTGCTATTTCTGCTTGTTTAGCTTAGCAGGTTTGCGCAGCTGGTTAGCCCATCTTTGATCTGGCAAACTATTCTTGAGTATGTCGTAAAAGCCTCAACTGTATGAGGTTGGTGGGGGATCGGTCCATTGTGGTTGACGCCAGCTGCCTTCTAATATACCAACCCACTAATGCCTACCTTACCCAGTTGTTACGGTATTTATTACCCTGTTCTTCTAACGTCTGCATGAGTGTACTAGAGCGTCGAAAGATCCCTTCACGTCATGCGTGTTTTGTAGGCCCCTTGATATGAGGCTGTCAATTTATTTTCATCCCCGGGTAAGAAGTCTGCATTGCCTCGTATGGTGACTCATGTGCTTAGACGCTGCATTTTTTAATCCTAGCAATTGGGCAAACAATTTTCGCCCGTGTTTGGGCAATTGTCAGTTAATTTACATAACAGCCTTGGGAAGCATAATAAGTTGCATCGCTGCCTCGCATAATTGCTTGCTGATTAGTCCTCTGGGGGCGTCTTGTTTGTCTCCATTCATCGTGCCATTCCCGTTTACACCTTAACAAACATCGCCCGCCAGTTTCAGCGGGTGGCTGAGGCGACGGTGGGTGGGAGGGGCACACAGTAATGTGTCTAATTTTACTTCTTTTCGCCTGGTTCTTTGGCTTCAGCGTTCATAGCATTTATTGCTTTCCTTGCCTTCGTGTCGATGGGGCAGCGAATTACACGCCACACGCTCTGATCTGCATACTGATGTACTTTTATGTGGTCACCAAGGCAAATTTAGTCATTTTCTCAAAGCGTACAAAATGCCCACCCTCAATTGTGTCAGAATTCGGTAAAAAGCACTTCCGGTTCTAGGCTATCAGTTGGGACTTTTGTCTGCCATCGGATATTCATTTGAACTGACAATTGTACGACCAGTATTGGTTTATTTGCGCAGTGTCATCGAGCACAAAAATTCCCTTCCACCTTGTTAACGAAGTAGGCTGTCAGTCCAACCTAAATTTGTGCATTTCCTTCCTGTGCAGATGCCATGAACTTTGCAGGTTTGCACATGGAATTTTCCGAGTGCCATTTCTGTTATTTCCTCCTTCTTTGAAAGCGACCTCAGACCTCCTGCTTGATTGATTATTCTCAAGCAATTAGAATGAGATGTAAAACCGCTTGACGCAGAGTAAGAGCTACACCAAATGCAACCTTTCCAATAATTGTGTCCACGCGTGCACATTAGAAGCATCATTGGCCATTAAAAAACAAGCAGTCCAGGTTGTTTTTCGTCCTCTGCTTTTAAAGATTTCTGTGTCCTGATAAGTCGGTACGAGACGCAAGAGGAGGAGGAGGTGGTGATGGTGGTGGTGGTCTATGAGGACGGGTGTAACTGCGCAATTTCCCCGTCTGCTTTACTTTTGTGTGCCAAACGCCCTCTCTGTGGTGCTGGTATCGAGCCCTGCCCAATCTTTGTGGCCTGAACCGATCCCATTTGGCTGCCCAACAACGCATCTGTTCACGCCTGTTCAAATCAGGGCACTCACATCACAAGCTGGACTCTGGAAATGTGTACTTTAGTTTCCTTCAATGTGGTACTCACCGGAAGAGTGGGCGAGAAAATAGCTAGGCCAATGCGGGTAGCGTATTGAAGAGTTATTGTGGCCAGCTTCAACTCGCCTCTAGCCGACTGAAATGCGGATTGGTATGCTAGAACTTGGGCCGATTGTTTGTGACTAATGTCCTAGTGCAGATGAATTCGACTGTCTGCGTAATTTGCCACCAGCAGCAGCACCAGCACTGATTCGTACCCGACGGTAAATTTATTCCTCCTCTTCGAATACGCGCCCACCGCCTTCCTTCAAAGCGATTTTGTAGTTTTTTTTCCCCGAAAGCAATGCTGGGTTTCACTCATTATCATTATCTAGCCATGACGAATTCAGGCGATTCTGCTCGTTTTTAGAACCACTATTTTACTTGGTTGTGCAATAAATGGAAAGCGCTGAATGCAGAATCGCGTGGCGCACACAATTTGCTGAGCTTGATGGAGTCCATCTGGTCTATGATTGTTAAATTCGGATGTTTTGCCCCCATCTACTGAGGTGCATGCTGTTAATTTTGAGCGTCCACAAGATTCAATTGCGTTCTGACTTATCCGTAAGATCTGCCTAGGCGCATTTATTGTCAGATGTGTGAACTGCCTGGAATATGCCTGTTATGCCTGTTTAATGAAACGACTTAACAAATGCCTACAAGCAGGGTAGGTTTAAGCAGAGCCTAAATTCTTAAGCCTCCGGTGGCGTGGTAAATGCCTCAAGAATCAGTGACCAGGTTTGAGGAAAATGGTTTACCTCAACTTTAAAATTGATTCGTTCAAAATCCCGGGTTGATTGATTCGAGCGTGCAAAGCGAGAGAAAGTTAATAAAAATTTTATTGCTTCCTCTTAGGCGTGTCCCGTTCTTCGGCCCATCACTGTGTTTATTCTCACCAACTTCTAATCTGCACCAATTGGAAATAAACGCCAAGTTGTGTGGGCGAATGCGTTGTCTCGGAGATTTTGATATTAAATGCCCTAGTAAATGATATCTCGCCAAAACTACAACAGAAAATCCATAAAAGAATGGTATTTAGATCGGAGAAGGTTTGATTAACGACCAATAATGTCTCGACTGGTTAGCATCGCACTGGATTCTCGTCATCCATGAGTTCGCTTATCCGTAAATTGCAAGCAACAAGTTGTGCTCACTGAAGGAACAACGGTGTCTCCCAGTTCCACTCCTGAGCGAGCTGTCATTATCCTTCCCTCTGTTGACGTACTCTGTTTAGTTTATTTTGGTAAACCTTACAGACCTTTCTGTGAATTTGCATGGGGATATTTTGCAAGGATAAGTAAACTTTCTTCATCGTGGGGAAGCGATCTTATCTATGGCTCCTGGTCCTCAAACAATCGTCAGTTTAGGAGTTTCGGAGCAGCCGAGAATGCAAATTCATTCGCGGATTTTCGATTTCGTTTCGGTCGATACCTTGTTAGGCAGATTGTGAGCGCCACTGAGTTTTTTAACAATTCTCCACTGTAAATATTAGTTGGTGTGAAATTAATGTATCACCATCAGTGTTAAATGTATTTACCTCAATTCATCAAACCTCTCGATTCGCGTTTTGGTGTCTTTATCGTGTTCGTTCCCAGTGTAGTGGTTTTTGCTTACCTTAGACAATCCACTTTCTACTGTTGGGCAACCGCAAGGACAATTTCGAATTGCTTCACGCGCTTGCAAGCCTCGGTCAACTGTCGCATTTGGCCGTAACCAAACGCAACGCAGCCCTTGCAGTCGGTGATAAAGACGCCTCTCCTCCTTGGAAGATTGACTTCAATGAATTCATGACTGTGATCTTCTCGATTCCCGCTCTGGTGGTCGCGTTCAGCGAGTGGATCCCTTTGGCGAAGCGGATCGTGGTGCGACCGACCAATTTCTGACTGTCTTTCATCCTCATGAAAACACCCGCATCTCAGTCCCTGATGTTTTCCATATACTCCATCTACTAAGGTTTATTACTTATCTTTAAGATAAACCAACATTGTTAATTCCGTGGACGTCATGTAAATTAATTCGCCCCTTTTTAATCCTGTTATACAAATACACTCAATTTTATTGATTGAATTCCTTAAAAAGATGCTTGGCGAATTGGGAGGGTGGGTGTCTTGCTTTGAATCTCTTTTACTTAAGTATCAGTAAACTGCTTCCGTTGCCCTAGAGGGGAACCGCAGAAATGTGCATTCCCGAGAAATCCTTAGGAAAAATGCTCACGCAGAATTCTGTTTGGGGAACTAATGAAAGCTTGTGGCATGTTCTATCAATCCTCTCGGCGTGAATTCTTGAAAAAAGGCACCAACGTGAACAAGTGCAGTGTTTACAGGTGTGAAGAAGCATTTAACGATGTACTTGTGAAGCGGGCCCTCTTCACTTCGTCCCTATCGGTAAAACGTTCCAAATAGGAGCGCAGTCTCCGTTAATCGATCCAATCAATACAGTTTTCTTGTGATCCAGTGCAATGCCCATGTTATAGTGTGGTGTGGACGTTTTTACGCCACTTGGTTGCGTCTACCTGGGATAATCAGAGGTCTGAGTTGATCCAATGGCGCTCCGTGAATGCATATTTCCAACCATTGCGTGATGTTGCTAACATCACTACTCAAACGGATTATTCCATTTAAAAATTTTACCAGGCATTCAAAACCCTATGCTATGTGCCGATTCCTCTGAGCTTTGATCAGTGTCGTATTTCGTTATTGCGGTGGTTTATTAAGGACCTGGCTGGAGTCCGGAGTTGTCAACTATGGCGCTGTTTAGCGGTATTTTCAGGTATGTAGAAGACTAATTTCGCCTAAACTAGATAACTAAGGATTTTGTGCTGTTGTTTGTTAAGTCATTTACAGCTAATATTTCACGTTTGTTTTAATGTGCTTGTGTGCAGTGCTGTCGAAATTCAGTTTGAGGGACAGAAATTCGAAACAGTAAATTATTATGATTTATTAATTCTAACTAGTCCTAATTTTTTAAAGAATAGCCTCGTCTGGTAGTTTCCTAGTAAACTCAGACTTTCAATAGTTCAACGAGAACTCGCTATTAAGTCGACTGACATCAGTGTTATGCCCGAAAGATAATCCAGACTCATACTCGGTCAATATCCCCAACTGATGCGTGGTACACTTAAGCAGACTCGCCCACGATCTGAGAATATCTGCGGTCCCCATTAGCTACTAACCCTCCTTCATGGAAAAAAAGTGAAAGAACTTCGTCTGTATCAGTCGAAAGACCGTGTTAATACGTACAGTCGCCCAATCATACATGCCGCGGGCACAGTAGATCGCAACCAGGATCGATAAAGTGAGCCAATGAGATTTGTCGGGCGATTTGAATATATAAAATGGTGTGTGTAATTTCAGAATTGGAAGAATTAGTAAGGAGTCGTTGGGAATTTTAGTCATCCTGATGGTGGCTGCTTTCCGCTCATGTTGACACGTATTGGCGGGTAGAATCCTTTCAGAGATCCCTGCTCCTAGCTACTTGCATCTAAAAAACCCCAATTCGATTAGTGTTTCTTTTGCCTGAAGGCGATTTCTGTGTTTGTTAACTTCCTTGCAAATGTGTGCATTCGTATTCTCTATGTCTTTTTATTGTCATTGCTTACTAAGTAGCGCTCAGATGTAACATTTACAGATTTTACCGAGAGTCGTTTTCTGCGCGTGCATGAATAAACAATAGACAACGTGATGTGATATTTTTTTACTGAAAAATGACAAAAAATGTTACAGAGACCACACTGCCCAGAGAATAAAAATTAGACGAACAAGACAGTTAACACCATCGGACATGGCTACAAAGGCTAATGACCTTCTACAAATAACCCTTTTGAGGTTGATTCATTTGAGGAAGGGAAGGAACTGGTTGACGATTGTTAGAAAAGAGAACATATTTGCAAAAATGGTACAGCTTATTGTAAGCATCAACACCTACTAGGTTACGCTGGTAAACATTAGTGCATAGGTTAGCCGAAACGCATTCAGAATCGACAAAATTCTACATTTTGTTGTCGAATTCCCAAACATGATGCTATAAGGGTCTGCCTATGATAACTGCTCTCGTGTATTAAAATTCTAATTATTTATTTTAAATTTATATTCATTTACTCTAAGCAAATACACAAGGATTCGAAGCCAATATTTAAACTACGAATTTCTATATTCCTGTTGTTAATCCTTATTGAGAAAGTTTGTTTTAGAGCTGCCCAACAATTTTTCACACTGCTTTTTGGTAGATTTAACCGAAATTCAACTTGCTAACCCTAAGAGCAATGCACATTAGAATGTCAAAAATAATTAATGCCTAGTTATTGGTTTTGTGTTTAATTATTTGTTTAAATGAAGAACACTTATTTTTGTTATTAACAAGCCTCTGGGTTGGTAAAACGAGGTGCTTTCGTGCACACTTTAATGACCAGTACAAACCTTACAGCTTGAAGCATCTAATTATTTTTTTTTACTTTGGAATAGAATTCCCTGTCCGAATATTCAAGACATTCGTGATTTCTTACATAACTTTTTTTCTAAATTAAAATTTTTATTCATGTACTTTTTGGTTTTTTAAATTGTACAGTATGATTATCTTCGAAGACAAATGAAAACAGTGATATCAACTTACAGCAGAACAATATGTTGCAAAGTTTTGGAGAAAATTCGGTGAGGAAGCGCCATGGAATGCGTTTCTTAAAAGCTAGTTTTTGATGTATTTACAAGGCAAACCTACCTTTTTACCACTCAACGCCCTTCTACTGAGCCTTATTTACGTGTTTTTTGATACAGTTTCCACCAAAAAATGTATTTTTGGACGTAGTGTGTAGTCATTTCGTTAACGTCTTTTATAATGTTTACTAGAGGGACGAAGCGTTCTACGGACATTTTGGGCTGACAAATTGACAGCCTCTCAAATTGGTACCTCAAAATTGCAGCCAAATGATTCGATACATGAAATAACAGGGACAAAATTAACGAAATAATATTGCATTATTTGAGCTGCAATAATATACGCTGTGCAGAATAAAGTATACGTAATAAAATTGTTTAAATATATAATTGACTTAGTTTTTTTAAAACTATTCTACTCTTGTTAATGATGAATATAACAGTTTCTTGAAAGAAGATTTCTTGTTTTTTCTGGTCCGTTAGACACAGTCACAAATGCATATTTTTATAAAAAAATTATAACAAGAATTCGTTAGTGGCTGACTCCTCGTCTGCTAGGTATTTTTATACAGTCCTGAAGGGATAGGTAAATCCCAGATCACCTACCAGCTCTATTTTCAGCGAATGCCTAGGTGGGACGTGAGTTTTGTAAATTTTTGGTCAAGAAGCTGGAAAATTCCACTTTGATTATAAAAAAGACGTCATGTTAACTGATGCCAGACTCAGAGAGCAATCCTGTGCACCAAGGATTGTGCAGTAATTCGAGCAACCGCTGCTCTAAAATTAAGGCCACGGGTGTAAGTAGTTCGGGCCCGCAACGATAATGCCAAAAGTGCTGTATTGCCAGAACAGAGGTTTAAAAAGGTAAAATCACGTCAAAAAGCCTTTCAGGCGATGTGAAAAGAATTTTATTTGAGGCTCGACGCTTGACTGAGTCGATGGCACTTATGAGACTATGCAATCCATCTGATTTAAACCAACCCAGCCGGAGTGCACGTCACATAAGCATTTTCGACGTCAGGGAAGACAATGGCTCAAATCACCCTCTTCGTGTTGCTTCAAACAGTCCTGAATGTAGAACCACTAAGATAGTGTTTTTACACACGAAACATGCATTTATTTTGGTGAAAATGGTACCAGTCCTATGGTGTTAAGCAGCACAGAGATAATGTAGCAAGCATTTAAGTGAACAAGTGGCTAGTAAAATAGCGTATAAGCGTCTGTGCTTTGATAATTCTGAATACAGGCAAAACGAGGTCCTGGGCTATCATAATGTCCTTTTTTACTTTAACGATAAATCTTCATGGTGGTTCGATGGGTGGAGTTTCCGCCTTAGCAAAGTTGCTAGTACGATAAGCAAAATGCCCTTTTGGTGATGGCTGAAGGAACGTGGAGGCGTGGAGCATAAATTGATGTTGAAATCAGTCAGGATCCAAGTTGTCGCCATTGGAATCTAGAAAGTTTTAATAATGAAACCGCGTTCAGTAAGGCAAGGCTTTGAGAAAGCTTCATTATTTGATTTCAAACCAATGATTTTTAATCTTGAACTGTTTAAAGGAATGCAATGTGGTTTCCATGAACAAACGGAGGAGCTTCAACTTCTTAAAGTCATGCTGATTCAAATGGTGTGAAAAAGCATGGTCAGAAAGTCAAAAAGCTTTCTCAGCCTCAAACCACAGCGTGTAAATTGAGAGAGTCCTTATTCGGCCTTAAATTTTACGTCCTGAGTCCATGCAAAACTCATTTACCAAAGCCACTCCGGTTCATCCTCCTTCCTCCTATTTTATGAGCGGCAATTCTAGTCTTTAATGGGGTTTGAGATATGAGACTTTCCACCATATCGTAATAAAAGAACAGTTCACGGAGGTGACCAGCGCCAATAAGAAACGATTTAATTTCGAGGTAGGAAATTTGTACGCGGTGGAGTGAAAACGAAGGACATTATAACGGCTGGAGTGTTTAGTGTTTTCTGCAATTGGCGAAGACATCTGCTCGTAGATTATGTAGATCAGACACGGACTTTATTTAAGGATTGGACATGTACACCCCACACAGGCTTTGTTCAACTTAGTGAATTTTAAGTGAATTCAGACAAAGGGATTTATTGACGAAACGTTAATGCTTTAACTGTGACCTCTGCTAATAGATTTCCTATAGGGAGGCATTTACTTCATCTATCGTAATTTTTTGCTAAAACCTTCGCTGAAATAACTGTGAATTAAACCTATATTGAC